CCTTTCTATTTCATGGAACAGTTTAAGGAGGGTTGGTATCAGTTCTTCTTTAAAGGTCTGATAGAATTCAGCAGAGAATCCATCAGGTCCTGGACTTTTCTTTTTGGGAGACTCTTGATTGCTGCTTCAATTTCATTTTGTGTTATAGATCTATTCAGGTGATTAATTTCCTCTTGGTTCAGTTTTGGATGATCATTAGTATCTAGAAATCTGTTCATTTCTTTAAGATTTTCAAATTTATTTGAATATAAGTTCTCGAAGTAGTCTCTGATGATTTCCTGGACTTCCATGGTGTTTGTTGTTATCTCCCCTTTTGCATTCCTGATTCTACTAATTTGGGTTTTTTTCTCTCCTCATTTTAGTCAGGTTTGCCAGGGGTCTATCGATCTTGTTTATTTTTTCAAAGAACCAACTTTTTGTTTCATTAATTCTTTGTATGGTTTTTTTGGTTTCTATTTCATTGATTTCAGCTCTTATTTTTTATTATTTCCTTCTATTTGTTTTGGGATTTGCTTGTTCTTGTTTTTCTAGGAGTTTGAGATGTATCATTAGGTCATTGATTTGGGATCTTTCAGTCTTTTTAATATATGCACTCATAGCTATACACTTTCCTCTTAGGACTGCCTTTGCTGTGTCCCATAGGTTCTGGTAGGTTGTGTTTTCATTTTCATTGACTTCCAGGAACTTTTTAATTTCCTCTTTTATTTCATCAATGATCCATTGTTCATTAAGTAATGAGTTATTTAGTTTCCAGCTGTTTGCATGGTTTTTGTCTTTACTTTTGTTGTTGAGTTCTACTTTTACTGCATTGTGATCAGATAGTATGCACAGTATAATTTCTATTTTCTTATATTTGCTGAGGCTTGCTTTGTGCCCTAGGATATGATCTATTTTGGAGAAGGCCAGCCCTGTTTTGTGTTGGGTATTTTCAAGATAGGGGCTTTCTAATTGTTTTCCTGGGCTGGCTTCAAACCGCGAGCCTCCTGATCGCTGCCTTAAAGGCATGAGCCTCTGGCACCCGGCAGTTTTCATATTTTCATGCATTATTCCATTACACATACTTATCTTCAAGTATTTGAAAGTCATAATGCAAAAGATAGAATTAACTTATTCTTTGTTCTTAACTGGGCAGAAATCAGATCAGTGGTGTAATTTATGGAATACAAATTTGGGGAAAATCTTTCAAGTAATTAGAGATTTTCTTCAATGGGATAGCTAAGAAGTAATGAGATGGTGTCACTTCTCAGTTGAAAGATTGTAACCTCAGGTGATCTCAGAATTACCTAAAAATATAGGTCCTCATCCCTTTTTTTTCAAAATAAGATCTTTATCGCACATCTTCTGACATTTTTGTTAGTCAGATTGAAGACTCATATGTCTCTAAGCACCCCATTCTCAAAGTCTGAAATGCACCCAACAGTGGGAAATAGAAAAAAGAGGGATGGTAAGCAAAATATGCACTCCCTCTGAAAGAAAAGTCCATATCCTCATCTCTGGAACCTGCAATTATGTTAGGCTATGTAAAAAGGAGGAATTAAGGTTGCAGATGAATTAAGGTTGCTAAAACAGAAAGTTCATCCTGGACTATCTGGGTGAACCCAATGTAATTATGTATAAGGGTCCTTATGTGAAAGAGAGGAGAATACGAACCAGAGAGGTGAGATAGCAGAGTGAGAAAGACTTGGGACAAGAGGACAGGAGGGAGTGCAAGGGAGAGGATAGAACCCAAAAAAAGGCAAGCAAATAGATTCTCCCCCAGAGCCTCAGAAGGAACATGGCCCTAACAACACTTTGATTTTTAGCCCAATAAGAGCCATTTCAGACTTAGGGCCTACAGAAATATAAAATAATAAATTATGCTTCTTTAAGTCACTAAATTTGTGATTTGTTACAACAGTAACAGATAACTAATAAAAGAAATTAAAAGGCATGTAAGATAGAAGGAAACCATTTTAACATCTGTCTAATAAGAGAAAGAACAGAGGAAATACAATATTTTTTAAATGACTAGAAATCGTCCAGAACTACAGAAATAAATATTCAGACTGTGGAAACACAGCAATGTCTAAACATGATCAATATAGTCTATCTATAGCCATACATACTTCAGTGAAATATCTAACACTAAGAGAAAGTCTAAAAAGCAAACCAAACGTCAGGCATAGGTAAGAATAAGACGACCAAAGCACTCCTTTCAGAGAGGTTATGAGTGTCAGTGGTCAACCAATGCTATCAGTATTCAAAGTTGGGCTCTAGCTGTGGCCCATACTCCTTTAATCTGGGTATTCCTAGGTCCTGGTACATGCTCAGAGAAGAATTTAGACAAAGAAGATGGGAGGAAGCTGGAGTCCGGGGAGAGATTTCCCTTCTACCTTGTTCTCAGTCTTCTCCTTCAAGGTAAGAAAGGGACAATGAAAAGAGAAGGAAGAATCCCCTCTAGCAGATCACCTAAGAACTTCTTTCAAATTTCCAACTCCTAGGGATTATCTAAAATGGGCATAGCTATTTCATACTGTATTCCCATGATGTTCAAACAGACTTTCCTTCTCTGAAGGATAGAAAACCCCCTTCAGTTATGTGCCACAAAATGGCACTTCTCTTTTTCTTCCCATGAGCCATCCACATCTTGTCTTCTACTGAGCCTCTATGTCCATCCACCTTTCTACCCACAGGTGTAATTCTTTCTCTCAAAGGTATAAAAACCATCCCATTATGGCAAAGTACCTGGCTGCTTCAGCCAAAACTTTCCCTTGCACCTGCTGGATCTCAGTGCTCTGTTAGGTAAAATGCCAAAGGGCAGCAGGTCAATGATGAAAGCAGAGTGTGCATCTCTTCCAGGGCATTCACACGTATGGTGGAAAGAACATGGGATTTGGAGATGACAGACAGACTTGGGTTTGAATCTTGGTCCTCTACTTTGTTAGTTGGGTAACTTTGGGCAAGTTTCTTAACTTCTCTGAGCTCCAGTTTTCTCATCTGTAAAATATGACCTGCCCTTCAGGGTTGTGAGGATTCAATGAGGAAAAGAATATAGCATAGTGCCTGGTACTAGATAGGTGCCAATAAATGCCATCTTTCCCCCTTAGGTGGTCACATGACTTCTGGGAAAGGGGGCACAGGAGAGGACAGAACCAGAGGTGGCTTTTAAAGTCAGTACAGGGAAGAGACACAAACTGAAAACCTGGAATAATGTACAAAAATTTTTAAAAACTCCTCTGGGCACTTGCAGACAGGGATTAATAAATGAATACAAATTGCTTATAGAATGATTCAAGAGATTTTGAGAATGAACAAAACTCAGAAGTCATCAGGCATCCCTCTTATTTCAGGTTGCTGCTCCTCCAACAAAGTTTCACCAGTAGAAAATTGAATATTGCTGGCCGCTGATGGCACGCCTGTAATCCTTAGCTACTCAGGAGGCAGAGATCAGGAGGACTGCAGTTCAAAGCCAGCCCAGGCAAATAGTTCACAATACCCTATCTCAAAAAAGCCCAGCACAAAAAAAAGCTGGTAGAGTAGCTCAAGGTATAGGTCCTGAGTTCAAACCTCAGTACCACAAAAAAAGAAAGAAAACAGAGTATTTATTTGTCAGAATATGGGGATGCACACACCTCACCCTCTCAAACTAGAAAGCTGATGACAGGGCTGAGCAGCAAAGAAGGGAAAAAGGAAGGTTGGAGCACTTAAGGTGAACATGGATGTGTTCTGTTTGGGGATCCAGGATTGTAATACTATCTGATGCCTGTCAATGCCTGGGTCTCAATATGCATATAAATTTGGGCATGCAAAGCATGGAGACAAAATACTAGAAAGTAAGCTGATACCCTGTCTCTGCTTACCACATTAGTTTCCATCATTTGCCTTCCAGTCCAGCCCATCCTTCTTGGCCTTGGCAGGAAGCACCCAGCACCTAGACCCCCCAAAAGCTCTCCTCCCCCATTCTTCATCTCATCACTGAGGGCACATAGCACAGCAGCAGCAGACAGACCTGGGTCCAGATCAAGTCTGGCTCTGCCCCTTATGTCTGACCTTGGGAGGTTATTTCCTCTTGCATCTTAGTTATGAGAATAAAAATAACATCCCTTGCACTTCTGGATCCAAGTGCTCTAGGTTAGGTAAGATACCAGAGGGCAGCAGGTGGAGGGGGAAAAGAGGGAGTAGAATAGTGTTTACCAGAGCCTAGGAAGGGATTAAAAGGATAGAGAAAGGACAGGTAATGACTACAGGGATACAGTTGACTAGGAGTAACTTCTAAAGTTTTATGTAGCACAATGGGTGACACCAATTACTTGTATGTTTCATAATAGTAGCAGATAGAATTTCAAATGTTACCAATGCAAAGAAATGATAAATGTCTGAGGTGATGGATACATCAAGTACTCTGATCTGATCTAATCGTTCCATATTGTATACAGGTATTGAAATGTTACACTGAACCCTATAAATATGTGTCAATTAAAAGTAAAAAATATAGGACCTGGTGGAGTGGCTCAAGTGGTAGAGCCTTGGCCTAGGAAGTGTGAGGCCCTGAGTTCAAACCCTAGTACTGAATAATTAATTAATTAATTAAAAATATAGGTGATGGGTATGCTAATTATACTGAATTGATCATTCCACATGTATTTATGCATCAAATAATCACATTATACCCCACAAATATATATATAATTATTATTTATCAGGCAAAATTAAAATTTAAAAATAAATAAAAATATATGCAAAAATTTCTGGTAAGTATATAGCACTGACATCTATAAATGTCAGTGCTATACCATAAATATGGTATGAAATGTCAGGCATGGGGGTGCACATGTGTAATATCCCAGTACTTGAGAGGCTGAGACAGAAGGATCGTGAGTTTGACACCAGCCTGGACTATATGGTAAGACCATGTCTCAAAAAAAAAGTTATGAAGTTATAACATTCCCTGATAGGGAATTGGGAGAATTAAATGTTTAAAGAGTTCATAATATACCTGGCACATAGTCAATGCTTAATACATGTTAGCACTCATTATTATCATGGCTGCCCCAGACCCTGCCCTGGGGTCCCTCTCATACAGAGAACATAGAACTTCTTTCCCTCATATCATACATTTGATATTCACTATAGGACAAGGCAGTACTTTCTCCATCAATTGCTCAGGGTTTGGCCAGCATAGAATGGATTCAACTGATCTGGATTCAGTGTTAGACAGAAAAACCTACTGTACAGTCATCAACTTCACTGTCCCCATCCAAATCAACATCTCCTTCACCATCTCTGCCATCCTAGATGTGGTGAGTATTGACTCCTCTCTCCCCTTTGGTATACTCAAGATTTTCCCAGATTCTGGCAAGGTGACCCAAGCCCCCTAACCACACTGCTAGATGGCACTTCCCTTGCATGGGGAGTCTCAAAATAAGCTCTGTCCAGTTTACATGGAAGAGATTTTCTTTTCTTTTACCCAGCAACTCTAGCTGCAAACCTGTGGCTAAGATCCTGATTGACTAGAACCTAGGCATTCAAGTTTTTCAGCTCTGCAAGCTCTTCCTGGAGCCCAGGTTGAGAAATACTACTTTACTCCAGTCCTGCTGTGAACACTCCTGCCCAGCCTAATATATCTATTTCTTTTAAAAAAAATTTATTAGCATATGATAGCTATACAGGGAGTCTTGTTGTGACATTTCCATATATACACACATTACATTCCAGTTTGGTTCATTCCCTCCATTATTCGCTCTTTCTCCACTCTTTTTCTTTCTTTCTCTCTCTCTCTTTCTTTCTTTCTTCCTTCTTTCTTTCTTTCTTTCTGGTACTGGGGATTGAACCCAGGGCCTCATGCATACTAGGCACACTCAACCACTGAGCTACATCCCCCCCACTCTCCTTCTTGAAATGACTTCAACAGGCTTCAATGTTCCATATTTATACATGTATAGAAAGAACCTCAACCATATTCATCCTCCTCTTTCCTCTTCATTTACCCACCCCTTCCTGCTATTACCTTCCCTTCAACATGCTATTACATCTATTTCGATCAAATTTTTGTCCTTTACCTCTAACATTGGCACTGATCACAACACCACTTTTATATACCCTGGGGAGGTAAACAAAAACAGGGAGTGAGTGGGGTGAGAGATGGACAGACATCTTACAGGCAATGTGCTGGAAATGGGAAATGCTTTTGGCAGGATGAACAGTTATAGCTCATGTCATCATTCCTGTGGCTGGAAATGGTATGACCAACTTCATTTTCTCTAGAGTCAGAAGAGATTTTTAAACAAAGATGTAATAATTATGATTTTTTATGTACCCAACAAAATAGCTATGAAACACAGGAAGGAGAAATTGAAAAATCCACAGTAAAGATGAGAGACTTCAATATACTGCATTTAAAAGTCAAGTAGAAGCTAGGTGCTGGCGACTCATGCTTGTAATCTTAACTACATGGGAAGCTGAGATCAGGAGTATTGCAGTTTGAGGCCAGCCTAGGCAAATAGTTCACAAGACCCCATCTCCAAAATAACTAGAACAAAATGGACTGGAAATGTGACTCTAGAGGTAGAGCCCCTGCTTTGCAAGCACAAACCCTAGCCCCATCCAAAATAAATAAATAATAAAAATCAAGTAGAGGAGCCAGGTGTGGTCATGCATTCTCATGATCCCAGCACTTGGAAAACTGAGACATGAAGATCAGGAGTTTCAGGCCAGCCTGGGCTACATAGAGAGACCCTGTCGAAAACAACAGCAATAACTCAAGTCAAAGGCTGGGAGTATCACTCAGTGGTAGAGCACTTGCCTAGCATCTGTGAGGCCCTGAGTTTAATCCTTGGCACTTAAATAAATAAGAAAAAGAGTGAAGGTATAGTGATTTTTAACAACATGATCAAGAAGCTTAATCTATATCATGTGTGTTGGGCATGCCTGCAATCCCAGCACTCGGGATGCTGAGACAGAAGGATTGAGAGTTCTGGTTCAGCCTGGCTTACAGTGAGATTCTGTCCAAGAAAAAGGAGAGAAAGGAGGAGGACAGGAGGAAGAGGAGGAGGAAGGGGAGGGCAGGAGGAGAGGGAGGAGAGGAAGGAGGAGCTTAATCTAATAAATTTATCAAACATTGTGCCATTGAGCATTCATAACCTTTCTGACATGCATGGAATATTTTCCAAAACTGACCACATTTTTGGCCACAAAAAAAGATCCCAACAGAATTGAAAAAGCATAAGTTATCTAGAATACATTTCCTAACTATCACACAAGAAAATAGAAACTTAACTATAAAAGGAGAGCCACCAGAAAACCTTGTTTCTTGAGAATTTAAAATTAAGCTTCCAAATATTTTTGGATAAAGAGAAAATAAAACAATTAAATAGAAAATATGAAATGAAGAGCACTACACATGAAAATCCATGGAATGTTCAAAGCATAACTCAGTGGATATTTAATCAGTTTTTTTTTTTGAGGGATTCAACAACTCAGGGTGTTGAGCATGCTAGGCAAGCCCTAGGTTTTGGTGGCTTTATTTTTTGTTTTTTAGTAGTACTATGATTTGAACTCAGGGCCTCATGCTTACATATAGCTCTACCACTTGAGCCAAGCCCCCCCAACCCTTTTTGAATTATTTTTCAGATAGGGTCTCTTTTCTTTGCAGTACTGGGGTTTGAATTCAGGGCCTACACCTTGAGCCACTCCACCAGCCCTTTTTTTGAAGGGTTTTTTTCAAAATAAGGTCTTGCAGAACTATTTGCATGGGCTGACTTCAAACCGCCATACTCCTGACCTCTGCCTCCTGAGTAGCTAGGATTACAGGCATAAGCCACCAGTGCCCAGCTGGGGTCTCCCATTTTTGCCCACCCTAGTCTGGACATATTTATGCTTCCCTCATAGCTGGGACCACAGAGGCGCACCTCCTCACCCAGCTCCTTTGTTGAGATGGTGTGGAGGAGGGGGGGTGGAGGTTCCTCACTAACTTTTTGTCCAGGCTAGCCTTGAATCTCAATCCTATTGATGGTGCCTCCCAAGTAACTGAGATTATAGGCCTGAGCTACCATGCCCAGCTCTAGCCTTTGGTTTTTCTAGACAGTGTCTCACTATTTAGACCAGGAATGCTGACGTTAAAGGCATGAACCTCCATGCTTTCCTGAAATTTTATCTTAGTGCCTTGATTAGTAACAAAGTAGGAGGGAGAAATGAAAGTCAATTAATTAAAATTTCCAACTTGAAAAGGTCGATTGGAGGGAAAGAAGCAGGGGAAAGATAATAATAACACTCACCAAACCCTGCTTTCAAATTTCCCAGACCCATGGCACTGGCTGATTACACCACCTGTAAGCTGGATCTCTGGCTCCACTTATGGTGACAACCTTTCCAACCTGCCCAAAACTGAGGAGTTCTCAGGACACGGGACTTTCGATGCTAAAACCAAGAAATTTCCTTGCAAATCAGGATGAGTTAGTCACCCTACCTACTGAATTGGGATTCTTTCTTTTTTGGGGGTGGGGGGTGGTACTGGGGTTGAACTCAGGGCTTCATGATTGCTAGGTAGGCACTGTACCACTTGAACCGCTCCACCAGCCACTACCTACTGAATTGGAATGTGCATTCCAACATGAGTATACACAGTAAAGTTTGAGAAGCACTGATCTCATAAAACCTTTATTTAATATGCATAGAGCCCCTATTATGACTAGCTTCACAATGCACAAAACTGCAGCTGTTAACATTGCAAGAGCTCTGAGAACAAACAAGTTCAACCTGAACTGGACAATTCTTGACATTTTCCAAAGAAGTTTAGCAGCCTTGGAATGGAGAGCTGGTTGCCAGAAAGATAAGAGAAGATGGTACCCAGCACACAACAAGGAAAAGAAAACCACTAATGCTCAAGTCTCCAAAGACTTGCTCGAAGTCTTCTTGCAATTGAAGCCAGTGAAAGATGCTTGGAAGATGCTTCAGACCACAATAGATACTAATACATAACAACCTTTGAACATCACTGCTTACAAAATCTTTCCATACACCCACTACTACCTTTATTTCACACTAAGAAAATTCTAGCTCAAAGAAGGCTGAGTTACTGATCTTTCAACTCTAAAGAATGTGCCTGATCATCAACAATTTCCCACTGAAATGGGGAAAAAAGAGGGATCAAAATTCATAAAGAAATAAACATTCTGCTGTTTGTGGTACATGCCTATAATCCCAGCTTCTTAGGAGGGAGGAGTAGGAAGATCATGATCCAAGGCCCACCTGGGCAAAAGCTCAAGACCCTATCTGAAAACCAAAGCCAAAGACGAGGGGCGTGGCTTAAGTGGTAAAGCACTTGCCTAGCAGTTGCTAGGCCCTGAGTTCAATTGCCAGCACCATAAAAAAAAAAGACCCAGAGAGATTCAATTTCTTGAAGAAAAAAGTAAGTTTATCAAAGTATTAAAATCCCATAAAGTTGAGTAGTAGATACACAGCTGTTGTTATATTATTTTATAAATTTTTTTCCTGCAGTGCTGGAGATTGAACCCAGGGCCTTGCATATACTAGGCATGCACTCTACCACTGAGCTAAATCTCTCCAGCCCTTTTCTATTTGCTTGAAATATTTTGTGACTTTGTTTAAAGGAAAAAAAACAAAGGGCAAAGAAAATAACCCTAGTCCACATCACGCTCTCACCTCTCTCCTACCCTGGGCTCTAGGTCTGGGATAATCCACTGATGAGCTGGAACCCAGAGGAGCGCGAGGGCATCACAAAGATCAGTATGGCAGCCAGGAACCTAAGGCTCCCAGACATTTTCATTGTTAAGCTGTGCGTATTAAGGGTTGGGAAAACCAGAGGGAAGCCCCACATCCTACTATCAGTAGAGCTCACAGACTACCATTGAAGCCAATAGAAGTGGTCTTAGGTGGCTAAGAAGCAACCAGAGTGATCAGAGGAAAATCCATAGCACCTGCCTCATGCTTCATCTGTCTTACAGCATGGATGTGGATAAGATCCCAGCATTTGTAAGTAACAAAGGTCGCATCAGGGATAAGAAACCCATGAAGGTGGCCAGTATCTGTAACCTAAACCTCTTCTACTTCCCCTTTGACCAGCAAAACTGCACACTTACCTTCAGCTCATTTCTCTACCCAGGTAAGTTGCAATAGGGTCTCAGCAGTGGGGTGAATGAAAGCAACCAACAAAGCAACAAAAAATGAACTAGAAAGAAACCTTGAGTAAATGGCAGCCAAGGAGCATGGGAGGAGCAAAGAATAAGGTTCTTTGGATGCTTAAATATTTTTAGTAAAAGATCCAAGTCTGTCCTGTTCATTTCCATCCCCAGTTCCTAAAAAGGTCCTGGCATATGATAAACATCCAGAAATTTTGACTGGTGAAAGGGTTCAGCATAGTTGAACCTCCAGGAAAATACATTCTTGGAAAATTATCTGGATGATGCTCCCTTTTTGCAGATAACATGTTGCTGGGCATGGAGAAGGAGGTGTGGGAAATAGCAGGTGCATCCCAGGACATCATTCAGGCCAATGGAGAATGGGAACTCCTGAGCATCAACAAGGCCACCCCAAAGACATCCATGGGTGCCAACCAGTATGATCAGATCATGTTCTATGTGAGCTCAGAGGTCCTTGCCTTTTCCTTCCTTGCTTGCTTCCACCCTTGCCTAGCTAGACTTTCCACCAAATGAATATCCCCCAAATTTCAGCGTTTCCCAGGCATCACTCTGCTCAACACTAGAACTTCTACCCAAGGCTGCCCAGCCTCATTCTCCTTCCTAAGGCTTCTGGCTCCAGATAATGCTCTCTGCAGGGTCTATACCAGATTATGAAGCTGGATTCCACATAGCTTAGAGCTCAGGGAGAGATCAGACCAATGAAAAGGGAAGGCAGAAACAGTCTGCATTCTGGCAGCAAACTGGTATTCTTGAATTTGTGATTTCCTTCAAATCCCATATTTACTTTAATCCCTCTCCTCCCCACTAGGTGGCCATCAGACACAGACCCAGGTGCTATGTGGTGCATGTCCTGGTGCCCAGTGGTTTTCTGGTGGCCATTGATGCCCTCAGCTTCTACCTGCCACCAGAAAACAAGAATCGTGCCCCATTCAAGATGACCCTCCTGCTGGGCCATGGTGAATGACTTGCTCCCAGTCAGTGGCAGCCCACTCATCAGTATGGCCCCTCTAACGTTCTTCAGAGGCAAGGGCAGGGAGGGGCCAGGAGAACTGGCCACTGCTTCTCTTAAGGAGTGAGGGCTTTTGGGGAAACCCTGGATTGGAGAAAGTGGCTAAAGAAAGGTTTAGAGATGAATCTGCCCAGGTTTATTTATAATTTGCTCTGCCCACAGGTGTCTACTTTGCCCTGTATCTGTCCCTGATGGTGGCCAGCCTGCTGGAAACCATCTTCATCACCTACCTGCTGTCCCCACCCATGCCTCGGGGACTCCACATCCTGCTGCTGCACTGCACCAGTTCAAGGAAATGCTGCCTCCCTGCACCCTGCAAGGGAATCAGGACCCAGGGTGCACCCCCACCCACCTGCCTGGTGAGGGAAGTCGGCACTGTCCACTTCCTCTTCCCATCCTGCCCTCTGCTTCTTCCCATCCTGCCCTCTGCTCCTATCTCCCTTCCTGTGCCCTTCCCTCCCCAGGTGAACTTCTCAGCCCAGGCACTGAGTCTCTGTCACCCTCCACAGATCTGAAGGAGCCAGTAGATTTGGTGGAGAAGGTGCCAGACCCCAGAAAGGCAGAGCTTGATGGGTGTCCCGAATCAGCAAGGGCCTGGCAGGAACTCGAGGCCCAGGAACAGCACTTGGTGGAGCTGTGGGTACAGTTCAGCTGCCTGGTGGACACCCTGCTCTTCCACCTCTACCTCCTCTTCATGACTTCCTTCATCATCACCATCATTGTCCTCTGGAACACCTAGGTGTGATGTCTTTCTCTTCCTACAGATCCTAGTCCAGAGCTGCTTCTGGACTCTAGAAGCCATCCAGGTCTTCGCCCCTTCTCGAGTACCAACTGTCACATCCTCAAAGATTACCAAATCCCTACTGCATTCAATGTATCATAATCTAGCCCAGTTGTTCAGACATTTCTCCCTCAGTCCTCAGCTTCCCTCAGTCCTGCCACATGGTTCTAGGTCCCCGGTATGTTTTCTGCATACCAGGTGTACCTCCTCTACTTGCTAACTCCCCCAACAAATGATTTTGCAAAGATGGCTCTTTGTCAGACTAAATTCACCTGTGTATCCCTCTGCCTGTGATAAAGCTTTGGTGTCATTAAGGGATGAGCTTCCACCTTAACTCCAATGTGGCTACTGTCCTACTTAAGAAGTTTTGATTCTCTTAGGTGTTTTCAAAAGCATGTTTTCTTACTAATAGAATTTTTCCATTCGTCTTTTTCATTACATTGTACTGATTTCATCTTAATACTCTCCTAATTTATTTTGCTTCATTTTCTTCTTTTTCTTTTAGCCATACTGGGGTTTGAACTCAGGGCTTACACATTTGCAAGGCCAGTACTCTACTGCTTGAGCCACGCCACCAGCTCTTTTTGGTCTGGTTGTTTTGGAGACAGGGTCTTGTTTTTACCTAGACCCCTAATCTCCCATTTTATGCTTTCCCACCATTGGTGGGATGACAGGCATGTGCCACCACCCTGAGGTTTTTTCCATTGAGATGGTATCCTGCTAAGGTTTTTTACCTGGGTTGGCCTTGAACTACAATCCTCCTGATCTCAGCCTCCCAAGTGGCTAGGATTAAAGGCCAGTATTCTTGGTCTTTTTATAAATTTTATTCTGAGAACAGCAGTTATATCCCAGATGTTTTAGGATAAGGTATTCATCTCTCACTACTTTGTAGACAATTCATAATTTTATTTCCTCTTTGATCTAAAGGCTATCAGAGACTTTCTTAATATCCATGGATAAAGGAGTTTTATTATTGTTACTTCTCCCTTGTTAATTTCCAGTTTCTTGGTTTATAATCAGGAAGCATGGTCTACATTTAAAACTTTCATGGGGATTGGGGATATAGTTCAGAAGTAGAGCACCTGCCTAGCACACAGGCCCTAGGTTCAGTCCCCAGCACCACAAAAAATAAAAAGTCCTCCTGCCCAACCTAGTATATCTGGTTGTTTTTAAAAAAAAAAAAAAGTTTTTTATTATTATTAGTATATGGTAGCTGTCCAGGGGGTTTTGTTGTGATATTTACATATACACATATACTGTACCCCAGTTTGGTTCATCCCCTCTATTATTCTCCCTCCTACCCCCCTCCCCTTCTTAAAATGATTTCAACAGGTTTCAGTGTTCCATATTCATACATGTCTAGAAAGTACTTCAACCATATTCACCCTCCTTTACCCTCTTCATTTACCCTCCCCCTCCCACCATTATCCTCTCCTTAATATGACCTATTTTGTACTCTTGTCCTTCACTGTTTAAGTGTCTGTTCATTGTTCAGTGGGGTTTTGCCTTGGTACCAGTTAAAAATTTTTGAAAAGAGCTGGGCGCTGGTGGTTCACGCCTGTGATCCTAGCTACTCAGGAGGCACTGATCAGGAGGATCTCAGTTCAAAGACAGCCCAGGCGAATAGTTTGTGAGACCTATCTCGAAAAACTTATCACAAAAAAATGGCTGTTGAAGTGGCTCATGGTGTAGGTCCTGAGTTCCAGCCCCAGCACAGCAAAAACAAAGAAACTGAAAAAAGTTTATTTTCTTATTCTCATTCTTCCTCTTAAACACAATCTCAACACTTAGGCTTTACAGTTTTAAAATTTTTAGTTCTAAGATGTTGCTTTTTCTTATTTTTTTTACATTTGTAATTTATATTAATCTTCATTTATAAGGATCCTTGCTTTTTAGTTATTTTTCTATTTATGCTATAGATTCAACTCATGTTTTATATTTTTAAGATGGGTCTTATTATATTAACTAAGCTCTTCTTGAACTCCTGGGCTCAAGCACCGCTCAGTCTCCCTTCCCCAGTTGCTGGGACTACAAATGTGCACCACCACACCCAGTTGAATTTCTTTCTTTCTTTTTTTTTTTTTTTGCATTACTAGGGTTTGAACTCACACTTGATAAGCAGGTGCTCTACCACTTGAACCCTCCCCTAGCCCATGAATTTAACTTATCTTAGTTTCTCCTCTCTTTGCATGTTGTCTGGGGTGGGGTCTGGACTTCTGCATTTCTAACAGGCTTTCTACTGTTATTCCTGCTGCTGCTGCTGCTCTATGAACACACTTTGAGTGGAAAGGGTCTATATGATCTAACGTACCAATTCTTTCACATTTGTTGTATCACTTATCACTGTGGTGTGATGGTGTCTTTCAAAAGTTCATATGCTGGAAATTTAATACCTAAATTCTTATATTGATGATATTTGAAGGTGGGACATTTGGAGGGTAGTTGGGATTAGATGAAGTTATGAGGGTGGGACCCCCACAATGTAATTAGAAGTTTTATAAGAAGAGGAAGAGAGACCCAAGTTAGCACACTGCTCTACATTGCTATGTGATGCCCTCTGCCATGTTTTGACACAGCAAGAAGGCCTTTATCAGATGCCAGTGCAGTGTTCTTGAACTTCCAGGCCTTCAGAACCATGAATCCAATAAACTTCTATTCTTTATAAATTATCGAGTCTCTCGTATATTATTATAGCAACAGAAAAAACATCTTTTTTTTATTCATTTATTCACATGTGCATACATTGTTTGGGTCATTTCTCCCCCCTGTCCCCCGCCCCCAAAGACACCTATTTTTAATGTTCACACAAACATTGCCCAAGCCTTTAAAAATAATGCATATCATCCAATGAATGCAGAGTTTGATATAAATCCATTGGATCAAGATGATTATGTCATTCATGTCTTGTCCTTATTCTGTATCTGCTTTATCTACCAATACTGAGAGAATATATATTTAAAATATCATATATATTAATATATTTTAAATATCTTATTATGACAGTGGGCTTCTCAACTATTTCTTATAGCTATTAAGTTTTACTTAATATGCTTTGAAGCTTCATTTTCTTTTTTGTTTTAATGATACTATGGTTTGAATTCAGAGCCTCATGCTTGTAAATGCTCTACCACTTGAGTCACGCTCCTAGTCCTTTTTGCTTTAGTTATTTTTCAAATAGGGTCTCATGTTTATGCCTAGGCCTTCCTGGACCACAACCCTCCTTTTTATGCCTCCCGTGTAGCTGGGATGACAGGTATGTGCCACCACACCCAGCTGAAACTTCATAAGTTTTTAGGTGCACTGAATTTTACATACTTCCTCCTGGTGAATTGAAACTTTAACGTTGCAAACTGAACTTTCAATTTCTTTTTTTTATTATTATATTCATATGTGCATACAATATTTGAGTCATTTCTCCCCCCTTCTCTTCACCCCCTCCCCCCGCCCCGCTCCCTCCCTTACCCCCCCTAACCCCTCACTACCCGGCAGAAACTATTTTGCCCTTATTTCTAATTTTGTTGAAGAGAGAGTATAAGCCATAATAGGAAGGAACAAGGGTTTTTGCTGGTTGAGATAAGGATAGCTATACAGGGAGTTGACTCACATTAATTTCCTGTGCGTGTGTGTTACCTTCTAGGTTAATTCTTCTTGAACTAATCTTTTCTCTAGTTTCTGGTCCCCTTCTCCTATTGGCCTCAGTTGCTTTAAAGTATATGCTTTATGAACTTTCAATTTCTAGTAAAGCTTACCCACAGATTTGCTCTGGGCTGTATCTGCCTGATGCATCTTCTTCCTTCTCATTACTTTCAGCTTTTGAGTCCTTCTGTTTACATTTTAGGCGTGTCACAGCATACTGATGAATCTTAGTCCTAGGTTCCAGCCTTTACACGAAGACTAAAAAGATCTTAGAACTTTTTAATGTAAAGTGGGAGAGTCTATTAGATAGAAAAGAGTAAAGTGGGAGAGCAGAGCCCCCAGAGTTAGGGGGGTGGTTTCTAAGAGAGGGTGACCCAGAAGTTTTTTTGTGGTATTGGAGATCCAACCTAGAGCCTCATGCATGCTAGGAAAACACGCAACCACTGAGCTCCATCCCCAGCAGAATGTTTTAATTCTAATTACTACATTCCTGATTCATATGTAGAAGTAATTCAGTTCTTTATTTTTTAACCTCCCATTTGAGACATTAATATTATTTTATATCATCTATGCTTGTTTAGATTTACTCACATATTTAGTATTTCTTTACTAGACTACCCCCTTGCATCTCAGAACCTGCTTCTGGAATTTTCTCCTTCCATGTGAGGTATGTCTTTTAACACTTTCTGCAATGATGGAAATATTCTATTCTGCACTGTCCAATATAGTAGCCAATAGCTTTTGAGTGCTTGAAATGTGGAATTTTAATTTTACATAATTTAAATTTAAATAGCCATATGTAGCTAGTGGCTACCACAATGGACAGTGTTAGCCAGGCATATAGTGGTACAGTGCATAGTTAGCATGTTTGAAGATCTGAGTTTCATTCCCAGCACCCCCCCAAAAAAAGAAAGAAATGGAAAGAAAAAGTTCCTTTAGTAAAGATCTTTCGGTGGTCAGTTGTCTCAGTCTTTATCAGAAAATGCAGGTATTTTACTTTTTTTTGTGGGGGGACTGGGGTTTGAACTCAGGGCTTCCTGCTTCCCCTCTATCGCTTGAGCTACACCTCCAGTCCATTTTTCATTCTGGTTATTTTGGAGATGGGGTCCAGTCCCTCCAGGATGTTAAACCTCTCGTCATGTCTGTACATTTATGAAACACAGAACAGCCAGATAATACTCTTTCCCCTCACTGTACATCCACTGGCTGGCTTCCACTCTGTAGTCCTGAACTCTCCAGATCAAGAAGTACATGAATAGTGTATGACAATTGGTGAGGAGGAGGGTGAAAGAGCAATGACCTCCAGGGGGCGGTTTTGCCCAATTCCACAAGCCACTGACCATAATTTCATCCTTAGTCCTCTACAATGTACATTCATTAGTTGCTTTATCTTGAGACAAGTTCTCCCTATGTAACTCAGGCTGGCCTCTAACTCGCATCTTCCTACCTTAGCTTCCCAAGTCCTGGAATTACAGAACTGCACCAATATGCCAGGTCCCACATTTGTTTAATTAAAAACTTTTACTGAGTTACTTTCTGCCTTTCCTTCTCTAGGCTAAATTTCCCCAAAATCAAAAGGTTTTTAGCTCCGCATCCTAATCAACTCGAGGAAAGAAATAACAGACTTCTCGGTTCCACCAGGAGGGAGCCTGAGTATAAGGAGTCAGATCGGAATCGCCACGTGGAAACAACAAACTTCAGCAGGGGTATAGGGGGAAAGGGGGACACTCCGAATCCCAACACGGAGATGAGACCAAGCAACACCGTCAGGAACACTGACTTTGCAGAAGGCTTTGGGCGATGGAATTCGTACCGTTCCTGTGCAGAAAGGACGTGGCGCCTAACTGAAAAGCGTCTTGTCCCAGAAATGACGCCCAGGTGCCTGGAAAGCTGCCTCACTCCAGCCCTGTCCAACCTACTCTTGGATCCACCCTTTCTCTACTCCGCTTAAACCAGAGTCGTCTGCCAGGTTGAATGAATGAATGGAGACCTCATAAAACAGGCACTGCTATTCCCACATAAATTGGCAGAGACTTCACTATCTATGAAGTCAGACAAATCGGGTTCCAGTTCCAGTTCTTCCACTCACAGACTGGATACTTCCTTTATCTCTCTAAGGGTTCCAAAAATAATACCCAGATCGATGTGTCTAGGGGATGATAATGCTTGTATCTTACCTGGCACACAATTAGCCCTCAATTGAATTAACATTTCCCCACCCAGTTTTGTATTTATGCAGTGGGTTCTCTATATGTTGAAGGAATGTCTGACTCGATTCCTCCCCAAGAGGCCAGGTTCCATTAGGTGATTAGAATAAATACAGGGAAACTGCTGGACAATTATAGATGCCACATAAATCAGGCTCTTCCGCGACTACTACAAGTCCCGTCACACCGCTTGTTCACGTACAAAAGAAGTCTTGACACTTGCTGACCAAGTCTGACATCTATAGGCCCCTTGCTGACCAAGTCTGACATCTATAGGCCCCTACCGCCATAGACCGCAGCAGTCCGGAGCCACTCATCCCTGCTCCGCCCTCTTCTGGGAGGGGCACCTGGCCTACACGCATGCGCACTCCTCCCTCCCCGCTCCGCCCTCCCCTGGGAGGGGGGGGCGGCCTGGTCGACACGCATGCGCACTCCTCCCTCCCCGTTCCGCCCTGCCTTTTTTATTCAGTCATTAGCGTTTCAATTGCTGAGCCTTTTTTGTCCCCAACTGCGTGCCGTGTTCGCTTCCCTGCGGAAGTGGTGTCTGTGAGGGAAGAAGATGGCTACCACTGTAGTGGCGGCGCCTGGTGTGGCGGCCAGTCGGGCCGACAAACGCGGCGGCGGCGGCGGGCCTGGAGGCGGCAGCGGAGGAGCAGCTAGAGGGGCGGAGGAAGAACCGCCGCCGCCCCTACAAGCAGTTCTGGTGGCCGACAGCTTTAACCGCCGCTTCTTCCCCATCTCCAAGGACCAGCCTCGGGTGAGTGCCCGGCACGCGAGCAGCCTGCGGGCCCAGAGGTTGGCGTGGCTGCAGCAGGTTGTCCTTTCGGCTGGCTAGTGAAGCATGGCCTGGAAGGACTCTAGTCCCCCACTTCTCCTAAAGTCGGGCTTATCTGGTTAGGAAGAAGGCGGAGGGACTGACTGACCAAGCGAGTGGACTGGCAGATGTGGGTATTGACAGGGGTGTCCATCCCAGCTTTGGGGGGAATGGAAACAGTTTAAGAGAAGCCTTCCCACGGGGATCTCGTGACCCAGAAGCCTGAGTTGCGTTTCACCGTGCACAGGAGATATGCTTAGTTGAGAAAGAACAGCACCTCCTTTTGCCTCTGAAAGGGCAGTAATATGCCTAAAAAAGAGCAGTCTAGGTTTGCATGAGCCCCTGAATTACCTAGGCAGTGGGCAGTTGATCTGACCTAGGTATGGGGACTGCTGGGTCACTCTGTAGTCCCCAGTTCACTGGAACAGAGGGAACTGCACTGGGTGTAGGGAAAAATCCTCCCTAACTACTTCTAAAAGGCCTAATGGCCGTTCATTTTTGGCAAGTGATTTGGAGCTTGCCGGGGAGGGGAATGTGGATAGGCCATGACTTGGAAAGAGATCAAGGAAGGAAATGCTGTAGGGAAAAAGGCATTAGCAGTGCTTGGAGTTCTGGAGAAATGATTGGTTCCCAGCATTATCTTTTGCCAGCAGTGACCTGCTATTCTGCAATAGCTCTGTGTCTGAAAGTAGGCAAGGAGATTCCATGCCCAATTCAAAGCCCAAATTGGAACACCATAGACTCGGGCTTAGAGCATGCCATGAACTTTAAAGGCAGGAGCCTGTTTACCCTTGAATCTGAAAGATAAAGCAAATCTGTAGTGTTTGGAAATACTGCTAGAGAAGTGAAAGTTGTCCTTGCAGTAGTGTACCCAAAGGGCCCTCAATGATTGAAGACCTCAATTTTTTTTCATATCCTTCCTGCCCTGCAGGTTCTCTTGCCCCTGGCCAATGTGGCATTAATTGACTACACTCTGGAATTCCTGACTGCCACAGGTGTACAGGAAACCTTTGTCTTTTGCTGCTGGAAAGCTGCTCAAATCAAAGAACATTTACTGTAAGGCCCTGTAACTTTTCTTTACATGTTTCACCATCTTTTTCTGGTTTTTTCAGGATGGATATAACTAAGTAAAGGGACACATGAGGAAGAATTATATCTATTCAGATCCCATTGTAAGAGTTAAGGGTGTTTTCTTCACTTGGGTGAGCAGCTGGAGCTCTGCATCAGTTCATCTTGGGGTTCCTCTAACAAAAATTAAAGAAACACTTGGGTTTTTCTGAATCTTATAAAATTTGGTTTTTCTTTTTATTTAATAGTCCCAATATGAAAATTACTGGAATAACAACTTTGCTTTTTCATTGAGTTTCCACATTTTGTATTCCCACTGCCTACCTTAGTGCTAAGCACATAGTAACCCCTTAGTAAATGTATTGATATCTTAGACACAGTGAACCTCAGGATTTATGGAAGTTTAAAAAATAGAGACTTAAGACATTAGCATAGTCTCCATCAGACAGTTCCTAACTTTGGTATTAACTTCAGAACAGGAAAGGTGACGTGAAAAGTGTGTTCCCAGAGTACTTTTATACTGTAGGTTTCAGCAGGATTTTGAGTTCAAATCCACATTCAGGGATAGGAGTCAAGGTATTGTGAGGAAATAACCATGTTTCTCTAATCCATAAAACAAAATTGACATAGGATGCTGAAAGCATTAATTATAGTTTGTAAGTCTCTTTGAAGTTGAGGATGCTGGCAGGAACCCAAAAAAGCCATAGAGAAGGAGTTTAAATACCAAAAGAGAGGAAGGGAAGGTCCATGTGATCTTTATACTTGATTTACTCATTCCCCTCAACCCCTTTCCTGTAGGAAATCCAAGTGGTGCCGCCCTACATCCCTCAATGTGGTTCGAATAATTACATCAGAGCTGTATCGGTCACTTGGAGATGTCCTCCGTGATGTTGATGCCAAGGCCTTGGTGCGCTCTGACTTCCTTCTAGTATATGGAGACGTCATCTCAAACATCAATATTACCAGAGCCCTGGAGGAACACAGGTGAGGATGGGAAAAAGGCAGGGACAAGAGCTAGGGACCAGCAGAGCCCTAAGACTGCTTTTTGACAGTCTCCCTTCTATCTTATAGGTTGAGACGGAAGCTAGAAAAAAATGTATCTGTGATGACAATGATCTTCAAGGAGTCATCCCCAAGCCACCCAGCTCGTTGCCATGAGGACAATATGGTGGTGGCTGTGGATAGTGCCACAAACCGGGTTTTGCACTTTCAGAAGACACAGGGTCTCCGGCGTTTTTCATTTCCTCTGGTGTGTGGGAATCTGGGGAATTCCAGATAGGAAAGTGTCCTGCTTCAGCAGGAAAGACAAATTAAAGTCCCTGTAACTTCTCCCCACAGAGCCTATTCCAGGGCAGTGGAGATGGAGTGGAGATTCGTTATGATTTACTGGATTGTCATATCAGCATCTGCTCTCCTCAGGTGAACTCTTAAGGGTACATGCAAAGAATAGATTTCTGAGACTCTCTGCTTACAAGGCCAGCTTATTTTTCTTCTCCTTCTTTTACTTATCTGTTGTAAAGCAAAGAGGTGTTGTCATCTTGTCCAAAGTATATTATAACTCTCTTTGGGATTCTGATTCATTTCTAGTTGTCATAGATTTGACAGGTTTCTGGGGGCTCATCTTTGCTTCCGGGAATAGCACTTAACCTTAGCCCATCCCATATTCCCCAACAGGTGGCTCAACTCTTCACAGACAATTTTGACTACCAAACTCGAGATGACTTTGTGCGAGGCCTGTTAGTGAATGAGGAGGTGAGAGAAGGCTTCCATGGCCTGCTTAGAAGAGTAGGAGAGGGCTGTGATTTTTATCTCACTCTGGTAACTTTTGGTTCCCTTAGGAAGGAAGAAAATAGCTCGCAAGCTGGGGGAAACTTGACTGTAACAGTGAGAGGCTAAGGGGAATTGAGAAGGCTTGGAAACGTGTTGTACTGGGGGACATTCTTCCTATCTTGCTTGCATGGGTGACCTCCTTTCTTTCCTTCTCATTCAGGTTCTAGGGAACCAGATCCACATGCACGTAACAAGTAGGGAATATGGTGCCCGGGTCTCCAACCTGCACATGTACTCGGCTGTCTGTGCTGATGTCATCCGCCGATGGGTCTACCCTCTCACCCCAGAAGCAAACTTCACTGACAGTCCCACACAGAGCTATACTCATTCCCGACACAACATCTATCGAGGGCCTGAGGTCAGCCTGGGTCATGGCAGCATCCTGGAAGAAAATGTGCTCCTGGGTTCTGGCACTGTCATTGGCAGTAATTGCTCCATCACCAACAGTGTCATTGGCCCTAACTGCCACATTGGTGAGCACAGGTGGGGAATCAAGCCAGCAATCTTAGAAATAGGAACTTGGAGGCCCTGTGTGTTCAAAAGCAAGGAAGGACATATGAGGGATAGTCCTTGGAAATGAGCTAGAGTGACTTCGTTAAGAAAGGAGGAAAATCAGATGTGGTGGTATGTACTTACAGTCTCAGCTACTCAAGAGGCTGAGGCAGGAGAATCACTTGAGCCCAGGAGTTTTAGATCAGCCTGGGTAACATAATGAGACCCCATGTCAAAATAGAAAGAGGCTACATGGGAGGCTGAGATGGGGAGCATCACAGTTTGAGTCCAACCTGAGCAAATAGTTTGCAAGACCCCATGTCCAAAATAACCAGAACAAAATGGACTGGAGTTGTGGAGTTGTGGCTCAAGCAGTAGAATGCCTGCCTTGCAAAAAGGCCTGAGTTCAAACCCCAGTCCACCACAGAAAAAAAAAAAAAGGAAAAGGATAAGAATTTGACACTGATATCTTCATTTGTGGCCTGTGAATCTCTTATGGGTGACTCTTCACATTCCAAGATACCCTGTATTCGTATTGAGGGCCAAGCAGATAATTAACATGCAGTAATAACCTCTGTTTAGTACATTACAATTTACAAAGGGCCTTTACATACATTAGTTTATTTAGTCCTCATAAGAACCATAGGAGGTAGGTATTATTTATCCTTAATTTATAAACAGGCTCAAAGAGGTTGTCTTGCCCAAGGTCATAGCTAATAATAGGCAGTGCCAGGACTTGAATTCTAGGTATTCTGGTTGTAAAGCCAGTGTTCTTTTTACCCTCCCATAACTATCTGGTAGCTTCATGGGAACTCACTGTGGTCATAGGAATGTGATGCTTCTAATGATACTACCCCTTAAAAGAACAGTAATTAAGATTGAGATTCTGTAATGTATAAAAAGAGGTGGATCAATTTGATTCTGCATGTACGCATGGATATGATTCTAGTAAGTTTTTTAGTTCATCCCAAGATATCTTGAAGGTTCTCAGGTTCTTAAGCTCTGTGTATAATATGTAATTGTTATAAGTTTGGTAGGTGGACAGTCAGGCTGAAAGCAATGTTCTACTCTTGGGGCTGGGCCTGGAGGACGAGTGGGTGTTTCTGGTGCCTTGGAGAATGGGGTATTAGAGCTAGGTAGCAGCTGTGTTGGTATCAGTCAGCTTTTCCTCCATGGTCTAGAGGTGGATCTCTCAGTGACCAGGAGTCCTTTCCATCCTGAGCTAGGTGATAATGTGGTGCTGGACCAGGCCTACCTGTGGCGGGGTGTTCGAGTAGCTGCTGGAGCACAGATCCACCAGTCTCTGCTCTGTGACAATGCTGAGGTCAAGGAACGAGTTACACTAAAGCCACGCTGTGTCCTCACTTCTCAGGTGAGACCTGCTTCATACTGTATACAAACCTGGATTGAGTGATGATTGTGCCAAGCCAGAAGGGATCTTATTTCCAAATAAGGTCCTAAATCAGAATGAATTGAGAGTCCAAATCCAGTGGGTCCATTTACCTTCTACTTGGCTTGGTAAAAAAAAGAAAGACATCATTGTAATTGTTAAGATACACTTTTTTTCAAGACATGATGAGACTGTGCCACCTACTCCTTTTTTCTCCGCTAGGTGGTGGTGGGCCCCGATATCATGCTGCCTGAGGGCTCGGTGATATCTTTGCACCCTCCAGATGCAGAGGAAGATGAGGATGATGGCCAGTTCAGTGATGATTCCGGGGCCAACCAAGAAAAGGAGAAAGCGAAGCAGAAAGGTGTGAGGCTCAACAGGTGTGGGGCATCTGTACACCTCTCTGCCCCCATAGAAAAGCCACTGTTTGCTTCTGAAGAGATTCATACTTCTGTTGGGTCTTTTCTAAAGATCAGCACCTTTTCCAGGTTACAATCCAGCAGAAGTAGGAGTTGCAGGCCAGGGATACCTCTGGAAAGCTGCAGACATAAGCATGGAAGAAGAGGAGGAACTACGGCAGAATCTGTGGGGTGAGCTAGTCCGTATGCTTGCTTTCCTCCTGCTGCTACTAAATATGAATATTTTGAAGAAGAGTAAGTGCTTTGCTTTTTTTTCTTTTTTTTTTTTTGGTGGTGGTAGTGGTTTTGAACACAGTGCTTCACACTTGTTGGGCAGGTACTCTACTGCTTTAGCCACTCCACCAGCCCAAAGTGTGAGTAGTTTGTAGTCTGATTACTTGTTCATTCCTTTGACAATGCTAACAGAGAAGATGGATTGCTCTCTGTTGGTGGTTACTTCCTTGTTTTTCTCTTCTTCTTACATTTCCTATGTTCTCAGGACTCACAATCAACATGGAAGAAGAGAGTGAAACTGAAAGTGAGCGAAGTATGAATTCTGAGGAGCTGGATAGCAGGGCAGGCTCCCCTCAGTTAGATGACATCAAAGGTGAGTGGGCAAGGGAGCAGAGGCCTGAACAAAGGGCAAGTTTATTCTTTATCTGCATCAACTAGTCAAAAGTTCTTATTCCTCCCAGAAATGGTTTGGTATAAAGTTTGGACTAAATGACTTGAAAGCAAAGCATTCTGGAATGATACTGGCCTGTGAACTTATTCTTTCTTTTTAGTGTTCCAGAATGAAGTGCTGGGAACACTACAGCGAGGCAAAGAAGAGAACATTTCTTGTGACAATCTAGTCCTGGAGATCAACTCTCTCAAGTAAGAGCAGCCTTTCCCTGTTTTGTTCTTTTTTCCTCTGGGCAATGCCAGGAAGGTGGAGGTTCTCTTGCAAGTGTTTCTTCCCCAAGTAGAAACCTAGTCCCTCAATGTCCCAAATAAAGGCCAATATATTTGGAGTAGGAAGAGCATTAGCTTCTAGCCTCAGCATAGTCCTCTGCCTTCTAAAACCCTCCCTGTCATGTTCCAATGTGCTATCAAAGTCATAGTCCCTGCAGTATGCCAAACCAGCCAGTGAAGGCCCTGGTGTCACATTCGTCTTCCCACAGGTATGCCTACAATATAAGCCTAAAGGAGGTAATGCAGGTACTGAGCCACGTGGTCCTGGAGTTCCCTCTGCAACAGATGGATTCCCTGCTTGACCCAAACCGCTACTGTGCCCTGCTGCTTCCTGTGAGCAAAGATTGGGGCTGGGAACAAGGGTTGGGCAGAAGCACACACATACCTTGCTGTGCTCGACTTAAAGGAAATCAGGAATAGATGTCTTGTTATGAGGTTGTTATGTCTTGTTATGTTGCTTCTCATTCTTTTTTCCTTGCTGGAAGCTGAATGGGTCCTAGAGCAGCCTGGGCTAGTTCAGAGAAGTCAGGTTGAGTTTAATACTGAGTGGTCTTTGAGATTCCAGGATTCAGACCCTACATGCCCACAAAGGGACACTCAGAAATAGTCCTGGAAGCCAGGCATACTGGTTCATGCCTATAGTTCTAACTGCTCAGGAAGCTGAGATGGGAGGATCACTGGAGCCCAGGAGTTAGAGGCTAGCCTGGGCAACATAGCAAGACCTTGTTCTCAAAAAAGCATGGCTTCAGTGATGGAGGCCCTAAGTTCAAACCCCAGTATTGCAAAAAAAAAAAAAAAAAAAAAAGCAACAACTTTGTGGCCCTATGAAAATGATTTGCCCCAGAATGAGATCAACCTCTGGACTGTGAAGAAGTATTTTGAAGTATTTCCACCCTCTCTTTTTCCCAGTCCTGATCAATACCCAAGTCCCTCTGACAAGATTCCACAGAGCCTGTGTCATCTCCCCCTTTCTGCTCATGTCATGAAAGGCCTACGCCATCAATATTGATTGCTTTTGCTCTTCAGATGTAGGTGCATGCTCAGGAATAAACTGTAGTTCATTTCTCCTTTCTTCTCTAGCTGCTCAAAGCCTGGAGCCCTGTTTTTAGGAACTATATAAAGCGTGCAGCTGACCATTTAGAAGCATTGGCAGCCATTGAGGACTTCTTCCTGGAACATGATGCTCTTGGTACTTCCATGGCCAAGGTGAAGAGCACCTCAAGTCCCATGCTTCTGCATTTGCTTTGAAGCAAGCCTTGGTGACCCCTATGGAGACTTGAAACAGAAGCTAACATGAACCTAGCATGGAGTTTGGTTCACAGCACCATCTGCCCCTAGTACTATAATTATTGCTAGAGTAGTACAGCTTAGAACCAACCTGGTACAGGTAAAGCAGCCACTTGGGGTTGGCCTGGGATTGCATAGCACTAGCCAGGAATCATTCCAAAGTTATACCTGTCCCAATACCAGAGTGAACAGCTCACTCTTGTCTGTTTTGGAGGAGACTTCTCAGTGTGTAAAAGGAAGCTAAGGACCTGGTAGAGCTGTAAGGTCATACCTCCTTTCCCTCTGTTGTCTATTATACCTTGCTGGATTCAGCAAGGCCCTTGAGTTATCCTTTGCTGGTTTTCAGGTACTGATGGCTTTCTACCAGCTGGAGATCCTGGCTGAGGAAACAATCTTGAGGTGGTTCACCCAAAAGGATATAACTGACAAAGGCCGGCAGTTACGCAAGAATCAGCAGGTGAGTTGGGCTGCCCTGTGCTCAATAAGGTTCCCAGGTCCTCAACCCTAGACTCCTGGGACTCTGGTTAGAGCTGTTTATCTGCTAAGGATACATGCCCCTCCCCCAACAGCTCTGTCCTCTCTTTTCTTACAGCTGCAGAGGTTCATCCAGTGGCTTAAAGAGGCAGAAGAGGAGTCATCTGAAGATGACTGAAGTCACATGGCCTGCTCCTATGGTGTGCTCGATTGCCTTCCTGACTCCTGGGGATGATAAGTAAGAAGCCAGCTGCAGAAGGATCAGTGACTGCCACCCAGACTGAGACTTAATTTAAAGAAGCAGAGGCTGGAACTACAGTATTCTTCCCATCGCCAGCAACTATGTGCCTCCATCCTGACTGGGGAGTTGGGATAAGGGAAGTTGGGCTGAAACAAAGCTCCTGCTTAGGGAGGAGCTAGGCAGGCCCTGCAGTGGGAGGAAAGCCAGAGGAACTGCTTTGTGCTCTGGCTTTCCCTCAGGGAATGCAGCTGGCCCTCTTTGCTGCTTGTATTTGTTAATATTAAAAAAGAGAGGTGTATTGGTTTCTTGCCAACTGACTGATCAGCCAGTGAAGAATGTGACCAGAGTTCTGAACCTCTGACAGACATGGCAGCCTTTAGCTACCACCTGGGGGAAGAGGGAGAATAGGGGTGTTGTGGCCACTAGGTGGTACTGTGGTGCCTTGCTAATTAACCATTCCCATGATTCCTGAGTAGTGGAGGGTGGAGCTGGAATCCCAGCCATTGTGGCCGATTCTGTAGTCTTGGTTGTGGACCATTTTTTTGACTTTGGTCCTGGGGTAAATATGCCTGAGCCTATTTCCATAGCCAGTTCTGGGTGGTGGTACCAAGCATATGTGAAACCCATTACTAGTTGCTACCCCCTCACAGGCTTTTTCCATTGACCCAGTACCAGTACTGTCAGGGGAGCTAAGGTGCTCTGCATCCTAAAGATAAGGAAATCTGCTTAGGGTCTTAGGACTTTTGCAGGTTATAGCTAAGGACACAAGGGTTTCTTCTATAGTATCTTTTGTCTCAGTGAACAGGAAATTGGCCCCAGAGACAAATAAAACCCAAAGCCAATAGTAGACATTCTGAGAACACAAAAGGCCCTGTGAAATAGGCTTTCCCTTACTCTTGAGAGTTCAGTGTTTGACAGGCATTCTGCTGAATACTCTTCATGAGTTATTTAACCCTTGCATCAGCCTGTGAAATAGATCACTTTCAGATGAGGTGCCTGTGGTTCAGAGGTCCTATTACTAGTCACTTACGGAGCCAAGATTTGATATGAACTTAGGGGCTGAAGTTTGTCACTTGGTTGTATTGTCTTTTAACCTCTGCTGAGAGACAGGCCTCTGTATCCTTTGTGAGTTCTTTGATGCCTTCATATAGAGTGAAGCAGTAACTTCCTCACTATATGACACTAACTGTGGTAATGAGAGACCTCCTTGGACATTGTAGATAAAATGGGTGCCTTTCTTCATTTCAGTTGAATGGAAGGGAATTTCCTGAGGAAAAGGATACTGAACTTTTCTTGGGTACTTGGCAGGGGTGGGGGGCAGGGATTTCTTTGGTTTTTTTGAGATAGGGTTTTGCTGTATAGCCCAGGCTGGCCTCAAACTCATGATCCTCCTGCCTCAGCCTTCTGGGTGCTAGGATTATAGGCATGAGCCACATGCCCTACTGCTGAAGGCATTTCTGAAAAGAAGAAAACATGCTGGTCAGGAATTGGCTTAATTTATTTCCTATTCAGTAAATCTCAGTTTTAGTCTCATTAGGTGTATGATCTAGTGCCTAGAGAACATAAGAAGATTATGGCTTGGACCGAATAAGACAGTTAAATGGAAATGACTATAAAGCATCTCTATTCTATACCAATTAAATAGCAGATCACAAGTGGCTTATAGAATGTTTTATAAAGGAGAGGGCTGGTGGAGTGGCTCAAGTGGTAAGAGCGTCTGCCTAGCAAGCATGAGGCCCTGAGTTCAAACCCCAGCACCACCAAAAAAAAAAAAGATGTTTTAGAAAGGGGAGATTCCTAGCTGGGCTGATTAAAGAAGGCTTTACTTAATTGTGATGCTGAGGCCCAAAAAATAAGGTTAAGAAGGCATATTAAAAGCAAAGAATTTCCAATTAAGTACAGGAAATTAACCACAAGTTTTTTGTTCCCTCCAAAACCCTATTAGAGTACCAGTAAAGAAATACCTTAAAAAGACATGTGACTTAATAATAAGGAAGACAAAAGGTAACAGTGAGATGTCATTATTTTGGAAAACTAAAAGTGGAACAATGAAAGATAGTTTACAATTTTTTTTTTCTTTTTGGTAGGACTAAAGTTTGAACCCATGGCCTCACACTCAAGTAGTAGGCAGGCACTCTACTACTTGAGCTGCTCTGCCGGCCCTTTCTTCTGTTAATGTATTTTCAAGATAGGGTCTCTGGAACTATTTGCCTGGACTGGCTTCAAGCCACAATCCTCCTGATCTCTGCCTCCTGAGTAGTTAGGATTATAGGTGTGAGCCACTGGCGCCCAGCACAATTTTTTTTTTTTTAATATGGTGCTGAAGATGAACCCAGTGCCTTATGCATGGTAGGCAAGTGCTCTACTACTGTTCTACCTCTCCAGCCTAGTGAAGGATAACTTAGCAGATAGTCCGGTGCCAGTGGCTCACACCTGTAGTGCTAGCTACTCAGGAAGCAGACAGAGATCAGGAGGATCGTGGCTTGAAGCCAGACCAGGCAAATAGTTTGAGAGACCTGTCTTGAAAAACATCACAAAAAAGGACTGATGGAGTGGCTCAAGGTATAGGCCCTGAGTTCAAACCCTAATACTGTAAAAAAATAACTTAGCAGAGCAGGATGAGTTGGGTTTTACCTGCTGGATGCAAACCAATGTGTACTTCAGAACTCACAAAAGGCTCAGCACCTCAGAGGATGATAGGAATTGGGGCTAAGAACTGGGGGTGTAGTGTGGAGAGATTTTACACAAAGACCTGTATAAGAAGAAAACACTTCTGTCCTCCATCCACACCTTACCGAATCCAGCCAAGTGATTAAACTTACTTCTCTACAAGAAATGGGTGGTGTTCTGTGTCTGGAGAAATCATGGGGAGGAAACCATCAAAGAAATACTTAAGAAGGTCATGACTTTACAGACTGACAGGGCCCATGAGTGTTCAGCATAATGAATGAAAAGTCCCATGAAATTCCAATGCATTGAGGAGAAACTGAAACTGTCAGAGCCTATGGACTCAGCCCCAGGCATGGTGGTGATGGAAGTGAGTGAGGTACTAGGTTAAACATGAATAGAATAAGCACTTGTGAGGCAGGAGGTTCATGAGTTTGAGGCTAGCCTAGGCTACATAGTGAGATCCTGTCTCAAAAAAAAAGGGGGGGGGGCGGGAGGGGGGGGTTAGCAGAGTGACTCAAGCAGTAAGAGCACCTGCATAGCAAGCATGAGGTCTTGAGCTCAAGCTGCAGTGCCACCAAAAGAAAAGAAGTAAAACTATATGAGTGTCAGGACTTAACATCAGCATACACTGACTTAAACCTCCTGGGCCAAAACAAACTGGACAACTACAGCAAAGAGAGCCTATGAAGACATTTTTTGTTTCCTTGGTCAAAAAAAAAAAGCTTTCCCCCACTTTATTAACTGGGTAGTGAAACCTGCACATCAGTAAGCCTTGTACACAGAGCTTTCAATCAGCTTTTCAGTACCTCATTCTTACATGTGATAGAAACCAAAGTCCAAACTTGAGGAAGCCTCCAATGTGACAGGCAGAGACCAAAGCAAGCAAGTGGAAAATTGAAACCAAGGAAATAATGACAAAATAGGGGACTTTTTAAAAAACTTCAGAGTGAGCTGGACACCAGCAGTTCACGCCTGTAATCCTAGCTACTCAGGAGGCATAGATCAGGAGGATTGTGGTTCCAAGCCAACCTGGAATAATAATTTGAGAAACCCTATCTCAAAAAAAACCCACCACAAAAAAGAGTTGATGGAGTGGCTCAAGGTGTAGGCCCTGAGTTCAAACCCCAGTACCACATACAAAAGACAATAATAAATAAAAATTAGGGTGAAGAAGCTATAGTTATTCTCAAAATTCAAGGAAGAAGCCAGGCACAGGTCTCTCATGCCTATGATCCTAGCTATTTGGGAGCGTGAAATTGGGAGGATCGAGGTTTGAGGTCAGTCAGGCAAGCAGTTGAAAAAGAGATTCATCTCCAAAATACCAGAGCAAAACTGGACTGGAGATGTGGCTCAAGCAGTACAGAACCTGTTTTGCAAGTGCAAAGCCCAGTACCACCCCTTCTTCACAAAAAAATTCAAGGAAGAAAATGTGTTTGTGAAGAAAAGTGTCAGGCTGGCAGAATGGCTTAAGCTTACAGTAAGCCTGCCTAGCAAGCATGAGGCCCTGAATTCAAACTCCAGTGCTGCCAAAAAGAAAAAGAAAAAAGAAAAGTGCCATGAAAAGGAAGAATTGGAAGCTGGGTGCCTGGTGGTTCATGCCTGAAATCCTAGCTACTCAGGAGGCAGAGTTCAGGAGGGATTGTGGTTAAAAGCCAGCCCGGGCAAATAGTTTGTGAGACTCTATCTCAAAAAAAACCCATCAAAAAAATTGGGCTGATTTAAGTAAACAAATTGTATCCTATTGAGAACTGGAGGGTTAGAGAATCAAATGAGATGTTTCATTGCATTTCAATCCTTATGTACTTTCTTGGATTTTAAACCATGGACATTTTACCTACCCTTGTAAAAATATAAGTGTATGTATAAATAAATCATAAGCAAAACCCATTAAATAGCTCAGTAATATTAAGGAAATCTTGCAAAAAGCTGGAATCATTAAAAAAAGGAAATACGGCTGGAAGCATGGCTCAAGTGGTAGAGTATCTGTCCAGTTAGTGCGCTGAGTTCAAACCCCAGTACCAACAAAAGGGAATAGGTGATAAAGGAAAAAATTATATGAAAATAAAGGATTAATTCAGAAGGTCTAACATCTAACAGGAGTTGCAGAAGGAGAATAGGAAAAATGGTACTGAGGATGTTACTAATTTAAGAAATTAGTGATGTGGGTATGACTCAAGTGCTAAAGAGACTGCCTGGCAAGCACAAAGCCCTGAGTTCACACTCCAGTACTGACAAAAAAGGAAATAATTGCTGCATTACCAGATAGAAAGGGCCCACCGAATGAATGAGAGAAAATCCTCACTGAGCCAGGCATGTGAGGATTACATACCTGTAGTCTTAGCTACTTGGAGGCTGAGGCAGGAGGATTGCCTGAGCCCAAGAGTTCAAGGACAACCTAGGCAACATAAAAAGACCTGATAAGTGAGACCCCACCTCAAAACACAGAAAAGATCCTTACCAAAACCTATCACCATGAAATTTCATAATTGTGGGGGTAAAGAGAATGTCCTAAAGGCTTCCAGAGAATAAGAACAAGTATACTAAGGCTTGGGGAAAATAAGATAAAACTGATACCTGGTTATCAGTAATGGAATTAGAAGACAATAGAGTGGCGCCTTTGAAATCTAAGGGAAAATTATTTTAAAGTCAATCATTTTTAGATATGCAAGTTCTCAAAAAAAATTGTGTTCTTCATGCTTTCTTTCAAAGGTAGCTACCAAAGGATATGCTTTACTGAACAAAGGCATAAAGTAGCCAGGAAACAGGGATCCAACATGGAGGAGAGATAAAGGGAATTCTGAGGGTGCAGGGTAACAGATGTGCACAAGTGGAGATAGCCAGCAGTACAGACCAGAGCCAAACAACTTGAGGAACAAATGGAACTGATGAATTACCTAATAGATTTGAGTGACTGAACAAAATGTGTATTGAGAAACTACTAGTTTATGTAGGAAGAATTAGGTAAGTACAATATATAAAAGGACAAAGAAAGCAATGATTAATGGCAGAAACAAAAAGTTGCAAAAGGAACAATCATGAGACACCAGATGGGCAGTGCACATTTACTCACTCAAAATACCACCAATACTAAATACTACACTCACTCAACCAAAATGTGTGATTTCAGTACTTTAAGAGGGTAGAATGAGATGGAAGAGATCATCCATCAAAACTGGAAATCAGTAGGCAATGACTAGAATGCATAAATCTGGGGGTGCACACCTATACTCTCAGCTACCCAGGAGGCTGGGGCAGTAGGATTATAAATCTGAGGCCAGGCTGTCAAAAAAAAAAAAAAAAAAGAGGGGTCTTAGGATGTTAGCTCAGTGGTAGAGAACTTGCATAGCATGTCTGAAGCCTTGTTTCAATCCTCAGTACTGCAAAAAATAATAATGATGATAATAATAAAATAGTATGAAGCTTGGTGCCGGCAGCTAACTCATGTAATCCTAGCTACTCACAGTTCAAGGCCAGCCTGGGAAAATAGTTCCAGAGACTCCCATCTCCAAAAAATAACCAGAGTAAAAATGGACTGGAGGCATGACTCAAGCAGTAGAGGGCCTGTTTTGCAAGTGCAAAGCCCTGAGTCCAAACCCTAGTCCCACCAAAACAAAAACAAACAAACAAAAAATATATATAGTAGATAGTAGTATGAGCTTAAAAAACATTATGGGGGTAAGGAGGAAAACCGAAGAAGACTGCGGTTGTTTTGGTGGGGGGGGGGGCAGTGGTAGTGGTATTTGAACTCAGAGCTTCATGCTTGCTAGGCAGGCACTCTACCATACGAGCCATTCCATTCCACCAGCCTTTTTTTGTGCTAGGTAGTTTCAAGGTAGTCTCTTGAACTATTTGTCTGGGGCTGGCTTTGAACCCTGATCCTCCTGATCTCTGCCTTCTGAGTAGCTAGGGTAATAGGTATGAGCCACTGGCATCAGGCAGGACTGCTATTTTTGTTTAAAGTTTTAATACTGTCCAGTTATGAATACATACTATTTTGAGAAATTAAATTTAAAGAAAGGGAAGGATATGAAGTAAAATATACATATAAGGTGTATATAGCTACTAGCAAGTGTGTTCATTTGCCTGGAGTAAAAAATTTGGCAAAGATGTAATGACACAAAGATTGTAAAGGTAGATTGAGGTTAGATTATGAAGGGGCTTGACTATCATGCTAAGGACATTCCAGAAGGCATCTGGGATCTGTGGAGAGGTTTCTGAGCAGAAGAGTTATCTGAAAGAAGTACTTTAATGTTAATTTGGCAGCAGTGTATAAAGTGGAATGGGAGGAGCCCCCACTTACCAACCTAAAAGGCTCTGTGATCAGCCCATCTACCTTTCTAGCCTCATGTACAACTGTCTCTCCAGTCACAATGGCCTTCTTGTTCCTCACATGTGACAAACTTACTCCTGCTTTGAACCTTCACACCTAGCTGTGCCTTCTGCCTGAATATTCCTCCCTCAGATCTCATAGCTGCTTCCTTGTCCTTATTAGCACAAATGGGTCTTTTCTGATAAGCTAGGATCCTTTCTCCTGTCGCTATCACATCGCTTCATGTTATATTCTTCACAACATTTGTCATTCTGAAGTTATTTATTTACAAGCCCATGTTCTTCCAGTTGAGCAAAGGTCCTAAAGGAAACCTTGTCTGCCTTGTTACTGATGTCTCATGCAGTGTGCCTTGCAGGTAGCAGGCACTCAATGTTTATTCAATGAATTAAAAGCCAAGAGGTGATATTATGTCAGGAACCGATTATTACCTAGCTCTGATTTGAGACTTACTGTCTCAATCATGCATATATACACTTATTCTTCGTTTAATCCATTTTTCTTTTGAGACAGGGTCTCACTATGTACTGTACAACTGGCAATCCTCCTGCCTCTGCCTCCCTGAATGCTGGAATTAGAGGTGTGTGCCACCATGTGCAGCGTTCCTCCATGTATTAAACCACTACTTTGCATCTAGGCGTTAGCGTTAAAAGAATAAATCAGAACTTGGTCCTGTCCTGCACTCAAAGAGCTCAGTTCCGTAACCTCAATGACAGCAGCTGTGCTCAGCAGAACTCAAAAGAGCCACGTCGAAGCCACTCTCCCCAAGTGATCCCCAGTCGGATCTTCAGATCCATCCTCCTCCCCCGATCATCTCTGGGAACCAAGGCGATCCCTCCATTCCATCCCTTACTGTCCGCCACTGACCCCCGTGGGTCCAGAGTCAGGGTTGGGAAACCAGGCCATCCCGGTAGGACCTCCCCTTCCATCTCCTGGGGGGGTCTGGAACCAGAGAGCGCAGGAACCGAGCGCCGCCGCCCGGCGGGTGGGCGGAGGAGTCGGCGGAGGCCCGGCCATCTGCCGCGAGGCCAGCGCGGCTCGGCGGCGGCGGCGGCGGCAGCGGCGGGGCGGGGCCGCGCCGGGGCGGGGCGGCGGCGGGGCTGGGGCCGGGGGAGGGGAACGGGTCGGGCCGCAGCCCAGAGCCGGGAGGGCCGCGGCCACCGGAAGAGTCCAGGTCGCTAGCCGAGCCCGGCGAGTGGGGAGCGGAAGCGGCGGCCGCGGCGGCGGCAGGCGGCGCTGGGACCCGGGAGCGGCGGGAGAACAAGGGAGCTGGGCTGAGCCTCTGGGCCGCGCCGAGCGCCGCCGCCGCCGCCCGAGGGGCCCGGCCCGGACGCCCGAGCAGGCCGCACGCGGGCCGCCGGGCCCGAGGCCGGAGCCATGGGGGAGACCAAGATCATCTACCACCTGGACGGGCAGGAGACGCCGTATCTGGTGAAGCTGCCCCTGCCCGCCGAGCGCGTCACCTTGGCGGACTTTAAGGGCGTTCTGCAGCGACCCAGCTACAAGTTCTTCTTCAAGTCTATGGACGACGATTTCGGGTGAGGATGGCCCCCCCGCCCCGCCTCCGGGGAGCACCGGCCCCTCCAGTCGCGGCCACTTTGGGCTTCTCTCCCTGCTGTGGCTTCTGTCCCCACTCGCTGCAAAGGGGCCACTTGGTCCGTTTTGGTCCCCTTTTCTTTTGGTGGGGCTGGAGTTCCAGCCCCTCTGGGGACTCCGGTTCACCTCTTGGGGAGACTTGGTGCTCTTAGTTTAGGGGGACGTCCGACTCCCTCAAAGCAATCAGAGTTCCTACTAGTCAAGCCCTCTCACCTTCCCAAGAGACCAGTGGCCCATATAGACACACACCCCCTCCTCCACTTAGTTCCAAAGACGAAGTCCTCAACCCTCTTCCCCCAGGTGACACCAGGGCAAAGACTTGGGGCGTTTGGCACCCGCCCTGCCTTCCCTGTCTTTTCAGCTCCGCAACTCAGAGCCATATTTGGAGTATCCTGCATTAAGACTATGCCGTGGGACTTTGAACTGGGGGAGGGTGGGAGTTGGGGGTGCTCCGCCAGGCTGGACGCTAGGGCCTGCAGACCTGATGTTTATTGCGCTGTCTCCCGTTCCCCGGTGGGCTGATTGGGATGTTGTCAAAGAGAGCTTGAGTGTCTGACCCTGAGGAGTCCTCACTAACCCAGGTGCTGATCTCCCCTCCGAATTCGGACCTTTTTCCTTCAGATGGTAATGGGGGAAGTCGGAAAAGGCCTCAGAGCCTGGACAGGAGGACAGGAATAGCCTCTTGGTGTTCTTCATCTTCCCCTCGCTGCCGGGTCTTCCCTTCTACCCAGATGCAGGGCTTTGGACAAGGCAGAGTTTGGAAGCAGCGACTGCCCCTTTAAGAGGGGCTGGAATGTTGGAGCCGGAAGGTTCTGTAGCAGCTGGCCTGGGAGGGGGAGCCTGGCTGATCCCCTCACAACCACCCCCCTCCACACACACTCCCAGGGGACTGGGGGAGGGGAAGGCCCCCACACTAGCTTGCCCCACACTATCTGGGCACCGGGCCTGGAGGCCTAGGAAGGCCTCACAAGGCCCTCCACGAAAAGCCCCTCTTTAGCGTAGCCTGAGGCCAGCCCTGCGCTTTGCAACTGAGGCCCTAGAGATGAGTAAGGGGAGACATTCTCCCCAGGGTTCATTGGTCTGGCTTCTGTCCCAAGACCCGGCCTTACTAGCCCAAGAGGCAAGCACCTTCTTCTGTCTTCTGCCTGACCTGTTTGCTATCAGCTTCTGCCCTGGAACTCAACATTTGATGAACCCATGAAATTTGTGTGTGAGTGTGTGTGTGTGTATGAGAGAGAGAGAGCGAGCTCACACTTTGCACTTAGAGAGTACTATGTAGATTCTGACTATTCCTGATCTGTTGTTGTTCCTACCCTGGAATGAGGATTCCTAGTGTGGTAGTAATTGTCTGGCTTTAGTCTAGAGACTGACATGCCTGATTGGAAGATTGTGGAACAGATGAATCTAGAAGGATTGGGGGTGATGGGGTGAGAAGCCTCAGCCCGGCTCAACAAGAATAGTGATCCTAGCTACTCAGGAGGCAGAGATCAGGAGGATTTTGGTTTGAAGCCAGCCTGCACAAATAGTTCATGAGACCCTATCTTGAAAAAGAAACCATCACAAAAATAGGGCTGGTGGAGTGGCTCAAGGTGTAGGCCCTGTGTTCAAGCCCCAGTACCGAAAAAAAACCAGAAAAAAGTAGAAGAGATTGATCACTTGTTTTTATCCCCAGGACAAATGAGCAGAAGACGTAGTAGAACTATTTTGTCACAGAGGACTAATAGCAAGGAGTATATACACAGGATATTTCATTTACTTTACAAACTCTTTTTATGGTGCTTATAGCCTGCCAGACAGTGATCTAAATGCTTTGCACATCTTTACTAGCCAGATCCTTCTGACAGCTCTATGAAATAGATGGTAATATCCCCACTTTTTAAATGAGGAAACTAGAACGCAGAAAGCTTAAGTATCTTGCCCAGAGTTGTACACCTAGTGACAGAGCTTGGTTCAACATAAGGGGTCAACCTCTAAAATCTAAAGCTTTCATCGCATAGTTGTAGGTACATGTGCGTGAGTGTTTCATTCAGTGGGGAGTACTCTGTAGATCACCATTTTACAGATGTACTTCTCTAGGACAATGGTAAACCTTGAAAAACTAGGGAGGTGATAGAGCTGCCACTTACCTGAGTCCAGGCCAGGGGCCCCTGCTAACAGAAGGGAAACAGTGTCAGAAAAGGAAGGCTGCTATCTAGTTGTTCCACTCCAGTGTCACCTTCGGAGGTCTTCCCAACTCCCATCTGGTCTACAGAAGTATTTGTTAAGCTCAGGATAGACTCATCTCTTTTCACTTACTTGGGAAATAGAGGAAGAATAAACATTTTCAGCACTGAGGAGATAGTAGATGGAACAAGGTACCACCGCTAGTCTAGCTTTGAGCTGTGGGATATGACAACATGGTAGGTTAGGTCACTGTATTGCTCCTTCTCCATGTCATACACTGTTCTACTTCTGGGCCTTCTACCTGGAGCATTTTTCTTTCCTCGTCTCCTCCAGGTTGAACTTTTCCATTAGAATCATCATGGCAATGTGTCCTCTATCCCTACATCCCTACACAGTTCCTAGCCAGGACCAGATACCTAAGGAACACTCAGAAGGCCGATGTCTAGCCAATAAACACATTTGCTGTTCCAGCCTCTCACCATTTGCAATATGCCTTCACGATCTACACTGGACCATAAGCTGCCAGAGTACAAGGCATGCTTCAGGCCTGATGCTTCAAGAGCTTCATGCAATGACAAGCACAGGACCTAAAACTCAGTGGGCTCTTGGAGAATGCTTTTTAATTGGATGAATGATGAGTAGATTTGTTTGGTCCCTGCTTTTAGAAACTTATACCTAGTTACATAGTGTGGATCCCACCAAAAGCTGTTAAGAGTTTTTAACTAGCTTTTATTATATGCCTAGACCTATTTACTGTGATGAGCCAAAGGCTAAGAAAAGCTAAGAGAATTATCTAGAATTGGAGAACTAGTAAGTGGTAGAATTAGAATTTGAACCTGTATTTGTCTGGCTCCACTTGGGGTAAGAGAAAGAGAGAAAATGAGAATGTTGTGGAACCCTGAGCCATTCGGTTCTACCATGGAAGGGTACAGCCTGTCAGAGATCCCCTAAGGCTGCTGAAGATCAGCTGATCCTTGTGAGTCAGCAGAATCTTGGCGACCTGTTGGTGACCCCCAGAAAGAGAGGAAACATCTGTAGTGAGGAGCAGCATGGTGGGGCCTGCTAAGGAGATGGGGGACTCAGCAGCAGTCTTCTACCATAGGGAGACCCTCTCCAAAGCACGACATAGAGTCCGTGCCTTGTGGCCCATGCAGCCCCCTTTCCTTTGAGCCTGAGCTCCCATGAAGGGCTGCAAACTTGAGGTACCCTGTGGCCAGACTGGCTGCTGGGTCTGAGCCATCTCTCTGACCCTTCTTTCTGCCATCAAGAGCCTGAGCAAGATGATTTGGGCTGTTTTCTTAGGGTCACTATAGGGTTGGGAATGGTGGGGAGTCAGAACTGGATGGGAGGGAGGAAGGCTGGGTTGGCCTGCAAACTTGGCTGGGAGTCCAAGAATGTGAGCATCACAAAGAGCCAAGCACGTTCCTGATGCAGCAGAAGCTGCTGTAAGAATGAGGGAGGACCGGGCTTTCCAGCATACTCTCTAAAGTCTTTTCTCTGCCATGGTCACATCTTCCCAGCTCTATACCCCTCGGGTGTTTGACAGTCTGACAGTTCTCAAACTTTTCCATTGTCTTCCCTGGCCCCAAACCATAGGCAGTATTTGACTTTTTGCCTCACCGCATTCCCCAGGCCAACTACATGCTATGACCACATCCCACAGCCCTCATGCCCCACATCACTGCCCCTCCCCACCACCAACCCTCCTTCAGACCCGCATTACTTCTGTCATCGTACAGGAAAGAATGTGAAACACAGTGGAAAGAGTATTAAAGTCAGACAAGTCTGGGGTAAATCTCAGTTCCTGACATCTTCTAGTTTGTGACCCCTGGCCAAGTTACTGTATTCCTGTCAGTTTTCTTATTTATAAAATGTGGATCATATTGTCTACCTAGTGAGCTGGCATGAAGATTATATGCTAACTATAGGGACATAAGATGGTATAATAGGTAAGGCTGAGGATTCAGATGCCGGCTCTCCACTCACTGGTGTGTGTTTAGGAGAATTACTGAACCTAATGAGCCTATATCCCCATCTATCTCTACCTTATAGCAATGTTGTAAGAGAAAAACATAAAAAGGAATACAAGTAGGAAAAGAAGTTATCCCTTTGCTGATATGATTGCGTACTTTGAAATAAGTAAAGTGCTTAGCATAGTGCTTGGTCCATAACATATGTTCAATGACTGATAGCAATTGTCACTTTTTTTGTGTGTGCTTGTGTTTTTGAGATAAGTCTTGTTACATAGCCCAGGCTGGCCTCAAACTCACAGTCCTCCTGCCTCATGGGATTACAGGCATGTACCACTATGCCTGGGTACTGTTAATTATCTTAGTGGTATGTGGAAGATGTTCAGTAAATACCTTCTCTTTCCTAGTTCCTTAAATTCCTTGTCTATACCTCCCAGAACAATGTTGGGATTCCTAGGTGAGAAGGGAAAAGCTTTTCCCAATTTGGGGGATGAGAGGGAAAGAGAAAGTCCAGCCCAGGAAAGCCATATTGGAGCTGTGTAAAGCACCCTGAAGGTTCTGAGGAGTGGTATTGAGGACGGCAGTCTATTAGATGTGATTTGCAATCACTTGATGACTGAGAGGATGCTACAGAAGGATAGCTGGCCTAGACTGGTGTATTCCTGCTGGTGCTAAAGAGCTGGTCTTGGGTCACCTCCTCCCCCGCTCCCATTTGAACAGTCTGGTGCTGGTTACCAGTTTAGAGTGCAGAACAACTGGGTTTGTGAGAACCCTCTATTTCCACACCAGAAAGTTCTGACATCTCCCTTTCCCTGCAGAGTGGTGAAGGAGGAGATCTCGGACGACAATGCCAAGTTACCATGCTTCAATGGCCGGGTGGTGTCTTGGGTAAGGAGTCCTCACCCTCTACCCATCTGTATCCCTGTGCTGGCAAAGGGAGGAAAAATATCACAGAGATTGAAGCTGGTGTCTTTACACTTCAGTACTTCAGTATCTGATTCTCCCTTTAGTTTTTTTTTTTTTTTTTTTTTTGTTGAGACTGAGGTTTGAACTCAGCTTTGTGCTTGCAAAGAAGGTGCTCTACCACTTGAGCCACACCTCCAGTCCATTTTGCTCTGGCTATTTTGAAGATAGGGATCTTGCAAACTATTTGCTTGGGCTGGCCTCGAGCCTCAATCCTCCCAGTCTCAGCCTCCTATACTCCCAAGTAGTTAGAATTACAGGCATGAGTCACCAGCACCCAATTCTTCCTTTAGGTTTTTTTTTTTTTTTCCTGATAGTAGTACTGGGGATCTTTCTTTAGTTTTCTAAGCAAACTGTTTTTCACTCCAGATTCTTCAGTCTTTAATGAAAAGTAGAAGTGTGTGGGAAGGGGGGAAAAGGGAGAGATGGAAATGCACAGTGGAGATAAAAATGTCTCCTATGCCCATGGAGACACCTGCTGTCACCTCTTGACCTTTGCCTGGGACCATGGACTTTTGTTCTCTGCCCACACTCCACTTCAGCAAGCCATGCCTCCCAGGCCTCCCAACCTGAGCAACTGCCCTCCCATAGTCCTCTCTTATCCTTGCTTCATTCTCTGGCTTTCATGCCTTACCGGAAGCTAACACTTTCCCTCTCTCTGGTGACCGGGTGACACAGTACCCATTCATTTCTCCCCCTCAGCTTGTGTCAGCTGAGGGCTCACACTCAGAGCCAGCCCCCTTCTGTGCTGATAACCCATCTGAGCTACCACCACCTATGGAGCGCACAGGAGGCATCGGGGACTCCCGACCCCCATCTTTCCAGTGAGTGTAACCCAAGGGTGGGGAAGGCCAATGGGAGAGGGCTGCATCAGCTCAGCCCAGGGTTAGGGAAGGGATTCCCCAGCCTGCCCTCTTTCCCATCAAGTCCTCTCTTCCCTGCAGCCCTCATGCTGGTGGGGGCAGCCAGGAGAACCTGGACAATGACACAGAGACAGACTCCTTGGTGTCTGCCCAGCGGGAGCGACCACGCCGGAGGGACGGTCCAGAGCATGGTGTGTCTTCCCTACCTCTACCCTCTCCATAGCTTTCAGCCAGATCCCCACCTCTTTGTCCTACTTCTTGAGTTCTGACTAGGCCTGGCCTCAGCGCAGTTCCTGGGCTTCCCCTCTCTCCTCCCTTCTCCCCGGTGTTGGGCTCTGGGTGAACCCAGCTGCCTCCCTCCCCTGCAGCAACCCGGCTAAATGGAACTACCAAAGGGGAGCGGCGTCGAGAGCCAGGAGGCTATGACAGCTCATCTACCCTTATGAGCAGTGAGCTGGAGACCACCAGCTTCTTCGACTCAGATGAGGATGACTCCACCAGCAGGTGGGGCTTTATTTTCATGGGTACTGGTACCGCCAAGAAGGCCTGAATCTGAGGACATTGCACCCCTGGGAGGGATGTGGGTCTTGTGTTGGGGACCTGAGCTCTGCAGTGACTCTCATGGGCAGAGCTTTGGCCAGAGTGGTGGGGAATGACTGTGGGTCCCACAGGTTCAGCAGCTCCACAGAACAGAGCAGTGCCTCCCGCCTGATGAGAAGACACAAGCGGCGGCGGAGGAAGCAGAAGGTTTCACGGATTGAGCGGGTATGAGGCCTTGGATGCTTGGGATGGGTGGAGGCAGATTGTGAGCCGTCCCAGGCAGAGCCACAGCTTGCTGTTCCTCAGAGCCCTTCCCTCCTGTTCAGAGTTAGAACCTTAGTGGGTGAGGGTGGTGTGCTGAGGAGAAACCAGATGGGAGCAGTGAGTTCCTACCACCCCTGCCCGCTGCTTAGAGCCTGTGTTTCTTCCAGTCCTCATCCTTCAGCAGTATCACGGACTCTACCATGTCTCTCAACATCATTACAGTTACTCTCAACATGGGTGAGTCTGGAAGATCAACACTCCTGAGCGCCTACTGTATGGTAGACGCTGGACAGGCATGAGAGGTTCTGGGAGGCACAGATAGGTTCTTTGAGGCTTGAGAATGTAGGTCAGTGGTAGATCACTTGCCTAGCACAAGGCTCTGGATTCCATCCCCAAAGTTGTTAACAGGGTTGGGGAAGAGGTGTTCCCTACCTTCAAAGAGCTCCTTTACAAATATCTGATACAGATACCACTGCAGTATTTCATGGTCAGGCTGTGACAGATAAGCACAGAGAGCTGTGGAAGCAGTAAATGTCACCCGGAAAACTTCCAGAGGAAGTGATTTCTGAGTGCCCCACCCCTTCCTATCCTTAGCCATTGCATCCTTGCTCTCTGATTTTTGCCCTGGGAACCCTCTTTAGGGAGCAGCTGGATATAGTAAAAAGAGCTCCATTTGAGAACTTAAATCTGAGCTTGAATCCTGGCTCTGCCACTTACTAGCTTAGAAAACTCAACCTCACTGAACTTCAGTTGCCTGATCCGTAAAATGAGACTAAGAGACCCTGCCTCACAGCCAGCAAGGGTTAAATGAAAGCATGTTTAAGCACACTGTTCCCAGTAATGTATACTTTCATGGGTTCAGTAAATGTCAGTTCTTGTCTCTTTCTACCCTTTGCTAATAAGGAGCTGGGAATTTCGGTAGGAACCTTGTCCCCTCAAGTTGTTAAATCACTTCTTGTAGAAAAGTATAACTTCTTGGGCATCTCCATTGTGGGCCAAAGCAACGAGCGTGGCGACGGAGGCATCTACATTGGCTCCATTATGAAGGGTGGGGCTGTGGCTGCTGATGGACGCATTGAGCCAGGAGATATGCTGTTACAGGTATCATTGCCTGTCCTGATCGGTGTTGTGGCTAGGGAGTGGGGAGGAGTTCCTGCCCTCTGGAGGAAGATCTCCTGACTCCCAGGCCCAGCTCCCTTGCTCCTCTCCCTAGGGCAAACTTTTATCCCACTCTTGGTCCTCTTTCTCAGGTAAACGAGATCAACTTTGAGAACATGAGTAATGATGATGCAGTCCGGGTACTGCGGGAGATTGTGCACAAACCAGGGTATGGATGGAATGGGATACTGGGGAGGATAGGGCAGGCATTTCTGGCTATCAGGCAAGGGGTTTGGCCTAGGCCTCCATACATCTTGTGCTCACTAGGACACTGTTGTTTTCAGACCCATCACTCTGACTGTAGCCAAATGCTGGGACCCAAGTCCACGTGGCTGCTTCACATTGCCCAGGAGTAAGTACACGGGGGATTCGCTCCTAAAGCTGTGCTTAGTGTATGTGAGCCCTGTCCCTTTCTTCTTTGTTTACTGAACCCCCACACTGACCTGTTTGGTCTAGTGTGGGTAGGACGGGCAGCCCATGACTCCTCATCCTTTATGCAGGTGAGCCCATCCGGCCCATTGACCCTGCAGCCTGGGTCTCCCACACTGCAGCCATGACAGGCACCTTCCCTGCCTACGGCATGAGCCCTTCCCTGAGCACCATCACCTCTACCAGTTCCTCCATCACCAGCTCCATCCCTGACACAGAGCGTGAGTTTCTAAGCCTGTCCCCTCGGCCCAGCAGACAGGGCCAAGTGGAAGGGATTGATGAGGGCCCACCTGAGCATCAGGGAGGGTTGAGGGAAGACTCCGCTCATTCCAGCTTATGCAGCTGTCACTGCAACTTCCCCAGTGGGCACTCTGATCCTCACTAAACATTGTTTGTTTCTGAGCCTGTATGGAGCACCCAAGAAGTCTCAGTTTCCTCTTATAAAATGGGACTATCAATATATACATTACCAGGTTCCTGTGGGTTTTTTTTTTTTTTTTCTCAAAATTCTTTTTTTTTTTTATTTATTCACATGTGCATACATAAGCTTTAGGTGAATGTCTGACTTCAAAGCATCCTGTGATAACCCCTGGCTTCTGGCTACTTGATCTTTTCTTTTTTTTTTTTTTTTGTTCATTTTTCTTTTATTATTTATATGTGCATACAAGGCTTGGTTCATTTCTCCCTCCTGCCCCCACCCCCTCCCTTACCACCCACTCCACCCCCTCCCGCTCCCCCCCCCAATACCCAGCAGAAACTATTTTGCCCTTATCTCTAATTTTGTTGTAGAGAGAGTATTCCTGTGGGTTTAATAAGAGAGGTTGTAAGTGAAGAATCATCCATGTGTGGCATGAAGTAAGCATTCAATACATGGCTGCCATTTTTATTGTCATAGAATGCACATCTATATTGTGCTAAGCACCTTTTTTTTTTTTTTTTCAGTACTGGGGCTTGAACTCACTACATCTTGAGCCACTCCACCAGCCCTTTTTTTTGCAAAGTTTTTTTTTGAGATAGGGTGTTGCAGAGCTACCTGCCCAGGCTGGTTTCAAACTGAGATCCTCCTGATCTCTGCCTCCTGAATAGCTAGGATTACAGGTGTGAGTCACCAGCGCCCGGCAAGCACCTTCATTGACATCATTGAATTCTTCAAATACCTTGTAAAGTAGATATTACAATTCCCATTTTTACAGAAGGGGAAACTGAGTGTCCAAGAAGTCAGTAATTTGTTCAGCATTGGTCCCATAATTATTGCGTGGTAGAGCTGGAATGCAAGCTCTTACCTACCTAACTCCAAAGCCCCTTTCTGCCTCACATTTTGCCTCCCATCCTCAGGCCTAGATGACTTCCACCTGTCCATCCACAGTGACATGGCTGCCATCGTAAAAGCCATGGCCTCGCCTGAATCAGGGTTGGAGGTCCGAGATCGCATGTGGCTCAAGATTACCATTCCCAATGCTTTCATCGGTGAGAGAGCCCCATGGTGGGATGGAGGACAGGGTGGGGAGTGATGGAACAGGGAAGGACTGGGATGGGGGCACCCAAAAACTCCCTTGAACTACTCCTTTGAACTGGAACTAGCCCCAGCCTCATAGCTTCTGTGAGGCCAGATGCACTCAAAGCAGATGGACCTCCCAATCAACTGGCAGCCTTATCCCCAGGCTCAGATGTAGTGGACTGGCTGTACCACAACGTAGAAGGTTTTACTGATCGGCGGGAGGCCCGCAAGTATGCCAGCAACCTGCTGAAAGCCGGCTTCATCCGCCACACTGTCAACAAGATCACCTTCTCTGAACAGTGCTACTACATCTTCGGTGACCTCTGCGGCAGTACGTACCTCCCCCGCCTTCGTACCCTGTCTCCTGGCTGGGAGTGGGGAGGTGTCCATGGGTGTGGCAGCAAACTCTGGAGATCCTGGATGGGGTGTAGCAGAGCTGTGGTCCTAACTCAAAGCCCGAAGGTCCTTTTGAGGAAACAGAGCCCAGTCTAACCTCTTCACCAGCCCTATATCTCCCTGCCTGTTGATCCTGGCATTCACTCTCTCTCACTTTTATATTTTTTTTGGTGCTGGGATCGAATCCAGGGCCTCGCACATGCTAGGCAAGCGCTGTGCCAACGAGCTACATCCCAGGCCCTCTCCCTTTTTTTTTGATGGTACTGGGGTTTAAACTTAGGGTTTCATGCTTGCTAGACAGGCACTCTGTCATTTGATTCACTCTGCTGGCCCTTTTTTGTGTTAGGTATTTTTGAGATAGGGTCTCTTGAACTATTTGCCCAGGCTGGCTTTGCACCTAGATCCTCCTGATCTCTGCCTCCTGAGTAGCTAGGATTACAGGCATGTGCCACCAGCACCCAGAGCTGGCATTCTCTTAAGTGCCTGTTTATCTGCCTGACATGGTGCTGGTTTCTAAAATATTGCCTTACTCTGTCATTCAGTCCTCACAGTCCTACCTCCAGGCAGTGGGAAGGATTCCTCTTCATGTTTTGAGATGAGGAAACAGATTTATCACTGTAAAATAGGTCTCACAATTAGAAGCAGAGGAGTTAGGCCTTGAATCCAGGTCTTCTGGCTCCAGAGCTTGTGCTCTTCCCACTGCCTGGGCTGCCCTGGGTGTATGGTGCCACAGAAACATTGTCTCAGCAAGGCTAAACAAAGGGCCTGCCCTTGGTCTATAAACCAAGCATGTTCCACCAGAGCAGGACATGAGGTTGACCAGGAGCTCCAAGTTCTCCTCAGATCCCTGAGAGTGGGCTATACCATGGGACCAAGCTAAAGTAGCTGTCAGCCAGGTTGCAGAGGACTCTGCAAGCTGTACCAAAGAGTTTAGGCTTGTTCCTGAGAGGGTACAAAGCCAGTGAGGAAAATTAAGCAGGAGATCCTGCAGGGACACTTCTCTTCAGTCTGTGGACATCCTTAGGGAGGGGGATCCTTAGAATTGAAAAGCATAACAAAGAAACAAAATGAAACAAAAAGTACAGAACTACATTGCTCATAGCTAGGAGCTGAGGCCCACCCACAGCATCTACCTCTACCCAAGGGAGCCTTCTCTCTAGCCAGTGGTGCTGGGTGGCATCCAAAGGCTCTTCTTTTTTGGTGGAACTGGGCTTTGAACTCAGGGCTTCATGCTTGCAAAGCTGGTGCTCTACTGCTTGAGCACACCTCCAGTGCATTGTGCATTGTGCTGTGGTTATTTTAGAAATAGGGTCTCACAGACGATTTGCCCAGGCTGGCCTCGAACCAAGATCCTCCTGATCTCAGCCTCCCAAGTATCTAGAATTACAGGCATGAGCCACTAGTGCCAGGCTAAAGGCTAACCTTAAAATGCTTCAGATTAGGTTCTAAGGACTAGAATGATCCTGCAGAGCACAAGCCCCTGGGTGGGCTGGCTCTCGGCAGTTCTAGCATGGCCCATGGAGTAGTGATAGATGCATAAGATTTTGGAGTTTGACAGGTCTAGGTTCTTTTTTTTTTAATGCAGCACTGGGGTTTGAACTCAAGGCTTACACCTTGAGCCACTTCACCAGCCCTTTTTTGTGAAGGGTTTTTCTGAGATAGGGTCTCTCAAACTATTTGCCCCAGCTTGCTTCTAACGGCAATCCTCTTGATCTCTGCCTCCTGAGTAGCTAGGATTATAGGCATGACCCATCGGTGCCCAGCTCAGGTCTAGGTTCAAATCCTACCTCCACCCTTACTGTGTGACTGATGAAGCCTCTTAATACCTCAGCTTCTTATTCTGTAAGATGGAGGTGAGAGTAACCTATCTCATAATATTGTTTTTGAGGATAAGGTAATATATATAATGCTCTTACCACAGTGTTTGACCACAGTAAGTGGTCTATAAAAATTGCCCATTGTTCATATATTTCATTGATTCTGAGATCACATTGTTTTTGGCAATACTGGAGTTTTTGAACTCAGGGCTTCATGCTTACTAGGCATGTGCTCTACTGCTTGAGCCATATCTACTACCCCACTTTTTTTTTTTTTTTTTTTTTTTTTCGATTTCAGTATCTGTGAAACTGGGGCACATTTTCCAATCAATAGCTTATTTTTTTTTAAAAACTTTTCCCTCCCAATCAGTAGTTTCTTAGACTTAGAGAAATATGGCTATTAATTGTTATCATTAGCAGAAGGGCCATCAAACCTGGCCCTATATCTCCAGGGACACCTGAAGCTTCCAAGGCCATAACTATGGCCTTTGCTCAAGACATTGTTTCTTCCCACCTAGGTGTGCTACCCACAGTCCCAGGCCACCTAATACTCAGCTCAGGGTGATGCTGTCAGAAGAGCCTTTTCCTTCTCACTGACCAAAGTCACTGTGGCTGGGTGGCAGCCTCAGAGGGAAGACCTTTGGGCCTGGGTTCCTCAGGAGTACGCAGTTACTCCCTTAGGACAACAACTTGCAGGCTAAAGTCTTCAACAGCTCTCTGGAATTTTTTTTTTTTTTTTTTTTTTGGTAGGACTGGGGTTTGAATTCAGGGCCTCATGCTTGCTAGGCAGGTGCTTTATCACTCCAGCCACTCTGCCAGCATCAACAGCAATTTGGGTGTGAGCTAAGGCCGGCCCCTCCTCCCTTCATCACCCCCATGCCGCTGGCCTCTGGCTTCTCCCTGCAGGGTTGGCCTGGCTCACCTGAGAACTTGGAGGAAGATCTCCTCTGAATGAGTCAAATAGGGTACAGATGGCATGTAAGCAAAGGTGTCCCAGGCAGGTAATCAGTCCTAGTGGCTCCTTATTGGGAAGAAGAGCCTTGCCTTTAGGGAGTATATAATATCCTGGGGGAACAAGAGTCATGCAATGAGTAATGTTGATTGAGTTGGTATCAGGCCTGGCTGCAAATGGGATGCAGGACACAAAGGAGTTACCCAAGTTATTCTTTCTGGCTCTTTCTACCACTTCCCCACCCTTTCCAGAAGCACCAGGAAATATGATCAGGCCAAGGGCCATCTATAAGGGGGGCATTAAAAGGCCCTATGCTCATTCTGAACTTTTTTTTTTTTTTCCTTGATACAGGGTCTCACTGGCCTTGAGCTTAGGATCCTTCTGCCTCAACCCCCTGGGTGCTGGGATTACAGATGTACATCACTACACCCAGCCCATTCTGGACTTTTAGCAGTACTGGGGGTTGAACTCAGGGCCTGTTGCTCACTAAGCAGGCATTCTACTGCTTGAGTCACGCCTTCTGCCCTATTCTGGACTTCTAATGAATTTTTTAATTTTTTTAGTTCCAGGGTAGAGGGAGGGTAAAAATTTCCCCAAACTTCTTCCTGTTCCTAACTAATGACCTCATCTGGAAAGGTAGAGAAAGAATAAGTAACTCATAGCTTCTGTTGTACCTAGAGTTTAGATTGACTTTAAGCTGCTCATTTAACGTCTCTGGTCTTGACTTTCCTCGTCTGGAAAAGTGAGGCATACCTCTCTCATGGAGTTGTGGCAGTCTCTGTGGGAGATGAAGTGGTGTATCCTTTGCTTAATGAACCATAGATGTGTAGTACCTCGAAGCTGTCTGGTACCTCAGTTTTCCACATCACCAGCCTCACACCTTGAGCAAACAGTTTTGCCCCTTCTTCCAGCCTCCTTAGGAGGAAGCAGAGAGTGTCAGGGCCTGGGAGGAACTGGCTGAGGATCTGAAATGATGGTTCACGGCCTTCCTGAGGGCTGTCTCTGATGGTAGCCAGGGGGTCTGGTCTGCAGAAGGGATGAGATCCTCCCATTGTAACCAGAAATTACCACCTGACCTAGTCTGTGGGCCTTTCCTGCATTAAGGGGTGTAGGGGCATGGAACAGACAGCTCACCCAGCCTTCCTTCCACAGACATGGCCAACCTGTCCCTCCACGACCATGATGGCTCCAGTGGTGCCTCTGACCAGGACACGTTGGCCCCTTTGCCGCACCCGGGGGCCGCCCCTTGGCCCATGGCTTTCCCTTACCAGTACCCACCGCCCCCCCACCCCTACAACCCGCACCCAGGCTTTCCGGAGCTGGGCTACAGCTATGGCGGGGGCAGTGCCAGCAGCCAGCACAGTGAAGGTATGGCAGAGGGGACAGAGGAGGGAGCTACCGGTGAGCCTATACCTCCAGCATCAGCTCTGAGCGCCCGATCCCGGTCCTGCTTGTCCTCTACAGGCAGTCGGAGCAGTGGCTCCAATCGCAGCGGCAGCGACCGGCGCAAGGAGAAGGACCCAAAGGCGGGGGACAACAAGTCGGGGGGCAGCGGCAGTGAGTCGGACCACACAACACGCAGCAGCCTGCGGGGTCCACGGGAGCGCGCTCCTAGTGAGCGCTCGGGCCCCACGGCCAGTGAGCACAGCCACCGCAGCCACCACTCGCTGACCAGCAGCCTACGCAGCCACCACACGCACCCTAGCTACGGCCCTCCTGGAGTACCCCCTCTCTATGGCCCCTCCATGCTGATGATGCCCCCGCCGCCAGCCGCCATGGGGCCCCCAGGAGCCCCTCCAGGCCGTGACCTGGCCTCGGTGCCCCCTGAACTGACCGCCAGCAGACAGTCCTTCCGTATGGCCATGGGAAACCCCAGTGAGTTCTTTGTGGATGTGATGTGAGGAGGCTCCCCCCACTGCCATCCCACCTCCCACCCCAGCCGGCTGTGTCCCGCTCTATCCGTCCGTCTTTTTTATTTTGGTGCCTGAAAGGGAAATAAATGGAACTAAACCCAGGTGCGCTAACTGCTCGCTGGTAGCAGCGAGGGTGGGTGCATCTACCCTATCGGTTCTGCAGCCCCTAACCTGCCTCTGGCCAGCTTGTTCCCTTTGCCCACTAACCGCTGCATAAGGCATTCCAGGATCGTTCATGTCCCTAGCTCCTGACTTCCTGGTGCTTACTCCCCTCTGCACCCTCACATACCTTAGGAAATGACCCCAGTGGTGTCCTTGGGGGTGGGGGGGAACTGCTCACCCCTTTATGCCCTTCTTTTCCCTTCTCAATACCATTTGAGCTACATTATCCCTTTTATTAAGCCCACTCCTCAAGCATGTGTGCAACAATCTTGATTTTGCCCCATAGTAACTGACACGAAAAAAATTAGTCACTTCATCTGCCCTTCCTAACCATCCCCTGCCTACTGCTTCAGTCCTGCACCCTAGAGCTGTAGTCACCTCCAGTAGCCGTCCATGCTATAGGTCCCTGCCTGTACCTAGCCTCAGTAAGAAGCCCAGAAGGCTCCTTCAGGTGTCTGAGCCTCTAGTGGCTTCTAGGGAGCCTCTCTGTTCCACCTGTGCCATGCCCCCATGCCTGATTTGTGTGTTGGTTTCTTCAGACCCTAACCCTACTAACTAGCAGGCTCATCTCACCTCTGGGCCTGAAACATTTCTTTTCTTTCTTTTTTCCTCCCCCAATTTTCCCTGGGCCTGGAGCAGCCAAGAATTTCGGGCTGTTTGACTTTCTGTGAGCTCCCAGCAAAGGGAGGCCCAGCCTCTGAGGAGACCAGGAACCCTGCTTCAGCAGCCCCTCAGGGCTCCCCAAGGATGTCCAACCCCCACACCCACACTTAAGCGTCACTAGGCTTCTGGGGAGGGCCCCAGCTTCACCAATGCTTGAAAGACCATGTTCTTTCTGAAAAGGAGTGTCTCTCCTCCTACTCCTTCTTTCTCTCTCTCTCTCTCTCTCTCACATACACACCACACACATACAAATACACATATACACACAGGTGCCTACACAAGTTCACTTAAGCTTCAGGGCTGGTCCCTGCCCAGAGGGCTGGACCCTCTCTCCAAATCCTTTCTGAGATAATGGGGCTGGACCCCTGACTTCTCTCTCCCCTTCTTCATAACCCTCAAGTCTCCCACACATGTCCCCAACATCTTCCTACTTGGATAAAGCCCATAAGCTGGGTTCCAGGCTAAGATCAGCAGAGGACTCCCCTGATGACTGACAAACATCCACCCCCCCACCCCAACACACACACATACACACACAGATCCTTTCCTGTTTTCACATTCACATGGCACCACAGGAACCCAAAGGCCAGTTGAAGTTGGGCAAGAGGACGTCTAAGGCTTCAAACGAAGTTCCAGATACTTTTTTTTTTTAATATCATATTCTGCACCTTAAGACTGCTATAAATTCTACGGACTCACCCAGGCTCCTATATTTTCAGGGTGATGGTGTCAAAAGTGAGATGAAGTCCTTAGCTCAAGTTTTGGGGCAAACTGATGTAGTAGCATTTAACAAATTCTTCCCTGGGTTTTCGTGAACAAAGGGCTGTATTGGAAGTGCAACTCAGTTTTGCCTGCCTTCTAGAAGCTCTGGGTTTGCTTCCCAACCCAGGCCAGGGCTTCTAGCCACCACTATAGGGCATCTCCTGTACTTCTCACAGTGATTCTGCCTTGTCCTATTCTCGAGAATTTCTCCACTATGCTCAGGCCTTAAGTGGTGCTTTCATCATCCCATCTTTGGTCTACTTCTTTTTCCTCTCTTATTTACTCCAGAAATGATATCTTCCATTCTGATGGCCTCAATTGCTGCTGATATGCTGGTGGTTCCCAAATATATAGCTCTAATCCCAACTTCTTCCAGTCTTCAGATCTGCATTTTTATTACCCAGTGGACATCTCCATGGACATGTCTATATGGACTCAATTCATGTCCCCAACCAAATGTGTTCCTCCTGAATTCTTGTCCTGGTGACCTTCATCATAACCTATGTAGACCCACCAGCTGGAAGTATTTATGGGCTTAAACTTCTTCCTGTATCTTACTAGTCAGCATATTACATCCTTTCCAACTCCAACAACCTTTCTGGAATTTAGTCCTTCCTCTACCCTTTGCCTCTACTTTAATTTACCAGAGCATGGGATTTTGAGTCAGGTTGGTTTGGGCTTGAATTCCAGCTCTACTACTTTTGGTTGTGTGATAGGAGTTATTTAACCTCTCTGAGCCTCAGTCCTCTTGTATGTAAAATGATGATAATAATACCTACCTCACAGGGTTGTTGTGAGGATTTAAATTAGATATTGTACGAAAAGTGCCTAGCACAGTGCCTGGCACACAATAGAGTAGGTGCTCAATAAATGGTAGCTATTGTTATTATTACCATCATTATTATTTACTCTAAATTGCCAGGCATTAGCTGGGCACCGATGACTCACTCCTGTAATGCTAGCTACTCAGGGCAGAGATCAGGAGGATTGCAGGTTGAAGTCAGCCTGGACAAATCGTTCCTCGAGACTCTATCTCAAAAAAGCCCTTCACAAAAAAGGACTGGTGGAGTGGCTCAAGGTGTAGGCTCTAAGTTCAAGCCCTAGTACCGCAAAAAAAAAAAAAAAAACTGGGTGTGTTTGGAATATAAAGCTTTTGCAGTGAAGAATGGTTCACCATTCTTGAAGTGAAGGTTGAATGGATGGTTCAAGGATGACAAGTGCCTGGTTTTGGTCACTTAATGATGTCAATTTGTGACAGTTTGATGAAGGCCAGATCTTCATCCTGCTAATCCTAGCTTCTGGCCGGAGGTTGCCAAGAACAGGAAAGTTCACAACCAGATTTGCCCTTTTTTGCCCTTCCTTCCTGCCATGACAGTCTCAGGCCTGCCTAGGGAAGGTAATGGTATTTCTGCCTACAGAAAGAGAAAGCTTACAGACTTTCTTCAGATATTGCAAGAACCTGGCAGGCCTTCTGTGTTCAAGGGTTGGCTCTGACTCTTCTCAGCTTGGATGTGAAGATTAATTATGTTCATCAAAAAGGGTTTTTGAATCTCATGTCCAGCTAAATTCAACTCACCAACCATTTTCTTAGAACCTTTGCCTGACACTAAATGGCACACAGTCACAAGTATAACTGAGGAAAGTACTGACACATTTGTGAAAAGCTTTAACTGGTTTCCGTGTAAGAATTAGCCTCCTCCCTCTCCTTAGGTCTTAATCCCTGGGAAAGGGCTCATGTCTGGAACAAATATAAGATGTATGAGAAATGGATATATGCAGGGCTGGCAAAGGGGCTCAAGTGGTAGCGTGCATGCCTAGTAAGCTTGAGGACAACAGTTCAATTCCCCGTACTGCAGAAAAGTAGAAAAAAATGAGGGCAGGTGGAGTGACTCAAGTGGTAGAGTGCCTGCCTAGCAAGTGTGAGGCCCTGAGTTCAAACCCTAGTGCTGCCAAAAAAAAAAATAAAGAAATGTATATATGCATATATATGGAATATAAGAAAAACTTGGGAGAATCAGACATGGTGTTAAAAAACATTTAGTTCAAAAAAAATGTATTAAGTTCAGCACCAACACTTCTATTGCTAAGTTGTGTGATTGTAAAGTGAGGATAGCCAGTCCTCGGACTCTGGAGACTGAAAAGGCCTACAGCAATTCAAAGGGAAGCTTCAACAAATGGCATTAATCTTCCGAACCTTTCAGAACCGCCCAAGTAGAAGCAAGAGGGATTGCAGAGACTACACTTCCCACAATGCTCAGTGAGGAAAAGTGAGTGGGTGGGGCGGTGAGTGTAGGGGTGCGTATTTCGGATAAGTTGAGCTAGACCTACGCCCACTCTCGAGGGCGGGGCTGTCTCTGGAAGGTAGACGGTAGTTGTAGTTTTGTTTTACTCAGGGCTCAAAGTTAACGAGAAGGTCGCGAGGGCTGACGGGACTTGTAGTCGGCGCGGAAGGCTGGCGCGCATGCGCTTCTGGGTCGGGGCGGGGCTGTAGCACTGCAGTGAAAGCAGAGGCAGCGGGCAGGCGAGCAGGGGGCGGGCGGACATCTTGGGATCCCGAGAGTGGCTGGGCCGGCGGAGCAGGGGGCCGCGGACGCCTGGTGAGCTGGGGATCTGGCCTTACGGGGTGGGAGAGAACGCCGTGGGTCGGCCTGCACCCCCCGCTCAGCCTTGCCCTTCCCTGCGCTGAGCTGAGCAGAAAGCTGCCCACACCCGGGAGGGAGCTGACGGCGGGGCGGGGGCGCCCAGGGCGCGGCTGCAGGACGGGCGGGGAGCGACGCCCTCCACCTGACCCGCTGGGTGCTTCTCGGGAGAGAGAGAGACCCGGCGAAATCCTTCCAGAGCAGGGACGCCGCGCGGCGCTTTCTCCCTGGGATCCTGACAACCCCCAGTCCTCGACGCCTCCCTCTCGGGGCAGGGTCCATTCCTCCATCTTCCTAGACAGTGACACCCCCTCCTGCCGCTTCCATGGACGGTGACAGGTCTCAGACCTTGCGGCATCCCCTCCACCCAGTTCAATGATATCCCGCGGCTCTTCCTCAGACCTGTGACAGCCCCGCACCCTCAAGACACCATCTCCTTCGGAGGTCTACTTCCCCTCCCCAGCAAAAAACCCACCACCCCCTCTCCTCATACCTTGCACCTGAAGCAAAAAGTAGGCCCTTACTTCCAGCGTTCCCTTATTTAACACGGCCAATCAATCTGCCAGTTTTTCCTCCTCAAATCCCTGACCTTTGTCATACGAAAACTTCTTTCTTTTAGGGTCCCCCAACAGCCCTGTTTGCGGCTGAGTGCCACTGAATATATTGCTGGCAGTTGCTGCTAGTCTTTCTCCTTGAATATGCCATTCCTGTCCAGGGCCCCCACTTTTGGTGCTGGTGCCCCAAACTGCCTACCACTTGATACCTGTGGACTTAGTCCTTTGCCCAGGGCCACCTCCATTTTGCATTTCATCTCCCAGCTTCTTTGAGACTGAGGGATGGGAATGTGTCCAGCACCTTGAGAGACCTCTTACTGGTCTGGGTGACAGTAACAGTTACAGTAAAGGACTTTATTTTCCAGTTTAGGAAAGTCTGCTAAACTACCCCTAGTGAAATTAATACCAAAGCTACTCCAGGAAATCTAGTACCAAATTAACCCCTTTTCTCAAACAGTCTAAGTTAGTTTGACCCAAATTTTGATATCCTTGGGCGCTGCCCCCCGCCCCCCGCCGCCGCCGCCGCCGCCGCCGCCGCCGCCGCTGCTTATAAGCACTTGGGCCAGAAGTGCCCACTTGGTGGATCTGGAGTCACAATTTCAGCTGGAAGGATCTATTAATTTTATAAACGTGTGTGTGTGTGCGCGCACGCTCTTTATTTTATTACACTCCAGAACTTTTTGAAAGAGGAGGGTGGCCAGAAATAACTGTAATAAGCAGAAGCAACTTGGGTCATTGAAGTGTAGTTTGCCAGTGCTGGGGCCTTTCTCCAACTCTGTTCCCTTTGCCTGCTTATCTGACTGCCTGGAAGAGATGTTCCTGCTTAGGCCACATTCCTGGGTCCGTGTGTAGGCCTGAGGCTTCTCTTCTCTCCCCCCACCCGACCCTGCACACCCTTTCCTGGAATGTGTAGATTTCTGGAGGCTCAGGCAGGCCCTGCTGCCTTCTTAGAAGGGTAGGGGAGCCTGTGTACTCTAAAGGTTGTGCCTGGGGGCCCCAAGCATGAGCCAGCTGGAGTAATTCCTACCGCCATTCCTGCAGCCAGGCAGGCTTTCTCAGTGACTCACTGGCTAGAGTCTGATGAGAGTCTGCACAGGAGGGGGCTGAAAAGGATCCTTGCTGAGCTCAGCGCTGTGAACTGGGGGTTGGGATTACTCTCTGGCTCAGCCCCAGAAAAGGAAGAAGAGTCAAAATGGCCTTAGAATCCTAGGGCCAAGGCTCTCTGCTTCTTTCTCCCATCCAGCATGGAATAAACAGGAACTGGAGCCTGGCTGAGGGGAGGAGGGGCTGGCCTGGGAGGGCCAAAGGGTCACTTGCTGGAGGGTTGAGTCAGGGAAAAAGACAGCCTGTGACCTGCACAATAGCCCCACAGGGGACCTTGGCAGGGGTTCTGAAGTCTTCCTTACCCCCTCCCTCCCCCCCCACTCCTCACCCCCTGTCCTAGGTCTGTTCTCAGCGATGGGCCTCGGAGACTGAGCTGCCACCATGATTGGAGGCTTATTCATCTATAATCACAAAGGGGAGGTGCTCATCTCCCGGGTCTACCGAGATGACATTGGGTGAGTCCCCTAGCTGAGCCAGCTGTGCCCCTACCACCCCGGCTCCAGCATGCAATATAGCCTGGTTCCCAGGAGGATGATAGCATTGCCCTGGCAGCCAGTGTACTGGCCCCTAAGTGGGACCTACAGAATGACGGCCGCCCACAGCTTTAGGAACTCCTGCCCTTCCTGCCTCCTGTGTCCCTTAGTTGCAGGCCTGGTTGCTGGAGAAGAGTGCTTTTTCCCAACACAGGTTGATTCTTCCTTTTAGGAGGGAGAGCTGTCTCCAGTGGGTGGAGTTAGTGCCAGCCAGAGGTACTAATCCATCTAAGTCTTGCTTGAAAAGCCCTTCTCATGTTCACTGGATTCTCTTAAAAGCTTTTCCAGACTGCTGAATCCTCTCCCACTCCCTTTCTCAGGAGAAGTCAGGCTGCTGACTCAACTGTTTTCAGTTCCTCTGGGTCATTCCTGGACGAGAGGTTGTGAACAAGCTTGAGGCACTCTGTGGGTCACTGAAGGAAGGGCAGGGAGGCCATGCTGCCCTTTCTAGCACATCCAAGTAGACCTAGATAGCTCCATGTTCTGGTCCCTCAGACCTTAACAAGGAGCTACGGCCTTACTTCTTATTTTGCTACCCCCCCACCCCTGACTCCCACATGCCATGGTTCTTTTCTGAGACCCATTTAGCCTCAGCAGCTCTAATGAGATTAGGCCCCTCTGGTTCCTGCTACCCTGAGTCCTCCTCAAAGAACTCAAGATAGTCACAGAATGGGCCTGTTGCAGTGCCCCTAGCTCCTTGGCTTTCTGGCTGATGAGATGGCTTGGCCTGGCCTTTGTGGCTGTTTGTCCATTGGTGGTGGTGAGGCTGAGCTAGATTTGTGGCAATGCCTCACATTCATGAACTTGGCTGACTCCAACCATTTGTGCCCCTCCTGTCCTGGGTGGACCTGGTTAAGCCATGACTGGGTCACGTACACCTTGCATGTCTTGCTGTGTTCTCCACCCCTTGCCTGACTTGTCTCCTTCCACCTCATGGTATGTGCTGCCCTCCCTGGTGTGTTGTGTGTCTAACCCTCTCTCTTGTTGCTGTCACTCTCCTCTTCTTGCTGGCATCATTTCTCTCATCCCATCTCATTGGCTACCGTAGCAATAGGTAAGCAGCCTATCAAGCTGCCACCCAGGTATAAGTGGGGGGGGGGGCCCTGCCTCCCATCACTGTCTTTCTTCAT